GACTCTGTGTGTATCTGTCTGTGCCTGTCTGTGTCAGTGTGTTCCTGATTGTGTATGTGTGTATGTCTGTGCCTGTATAAGCTAATCAGCACATGTGTGTCAGTGCTGGTGTCTCTCTGCGTTTGTCTGTGTGTGCTTGTCTGAGTCTGTCCACCTGGGTGTGCATTTCTCTGTGTGTTTGTAAGTAACTGTAAATCTGTCAAAAGGGTGGCGTTTGGGAGAGATAAGGCAAGGGTTTAAAGAGAGGCAAGGGGCAGAGAGTAAGGAAGAGGTTGCCATATTAGATTTGGGCTCATGCCCATGGTGTTTTATGACCCAAGCAACACTCCTGTATTGCAGACTGTATTAATACAATAAATCTATTGATTCGATTAACACGCCCACTTACACTTTTAAAAAGTCTTTATGAGCAGAGGAGTAATGAAGGGGGGTCAGAGTGGTGCAGCTGTCACTGGTTGCTGAGTCTGATGACGTGCTGGCTGGCATATTGAAATAGAATGCTCCCTCGCGGTTCTCTGCAATGCAGGGCTTATTAAACACAGGGCACATATCTCACCTTTTTGTAGGTGAGTGGAAATTTAACCCCATCTGAGTAAAAATTATAACATTTTGTTCACTTGCCCATCATAGCATAGGTCATTTCTGGAGCACGGGTGGAGTGTTCTTTTACTGCTGCTGGCTCCCTGCTTCCTCATGACTCGGCAGTATAATACAGGACACAGTGTGACCACATCCTGTGTTCTGTATTACACCACACAGTAAAGCCCCAACAGCGGAGGGAGATGGGTGCCTGCAGCAGTGAAAACACACACATTAGTCCTCAAATTCCCACCGCTACACCATCAGGGAAGGAATTTTAACAACATTCTTGGTGCCTGGATCAATATAAGTCGAGGGTTGGTTGAAGTATTGGAAGACAGAAGGTCTTGCTTGAAAGAGAAGTTTATGCGAACTCTTCATCTTCACAAGATCGCGGCCAGATCCTATATGAGTATCCTGGGGTCAATTTCCCCCATAACATAGGCCTGACTCGGTGGGCTTGGTGGAATATCCGGATTCCTCAAAAAATCCTTCTTGGTCCAGTACAGATATCTGAATTTGAAACAGACCATTCTTCTGACACCCAGAGTCAAGGAAGCTCCCAGGTGGTGGTTATCAAAAGCAAACCTGTCCAAAGGTTTTCCCCAGGTAATTTCTCTTGGACAATAGTCACCACTGATGCGTGTCACACAGGATGGGGAAGCCATCTGAACTAGACATGAATTCATGGAAAATGGCCTGTATCTCTGTGGGGAGCATCTTCCAACTACCTGGAATGATGGCAGTGTTCGAGGCTCTGCGTCACCGTAAGTCAGAAAATCGACATAAGGTGAAACGTCAAGTGGACAACACTACAGTAGTGGCATATGTGAACCATCAAGGAGGTACTTGCAGCCCAAGGATTATGGGCATCCTAATTCCCTTATGAAATGGGCACAGTAAAAACACTTTCTAGGGTTATCTGCAATTTAGCTTCCAGGTTCCCTGTACATCACAGTGGATTTCCTGAGCAGATACCAAATCTTGCTAGGGTAATGCTGTCTACCAAAATAGGCCTTTCAGATGTTGATTTACGGATGTGGTCCCCCAGAAGTCAACATGATGGCCAATTTCAAGAACAGAGATAAGGAAAATGGAAAAAAAGATCAGCGCTAATACACCAAACTAAAAATTTTAATAATAATGAACAAAAGTAGGCAGCACCCTTCAAAAAATAAGGCTCCCTTGAATCCTTAAACACCACAGAAATGGATAAAAATGGGGAGATAGAGGTAGCATCAAAAATAATAAAACAAATGTAAGAAAATAAAAACAATGGACTGTTAAAACATATATATAGGTAAATAAAAGCAATAGTATATCCAAATATAAGTCCCAATGTAAAACTTGCCGGAAGATAAAACCTCAAATGTTCAGGTTAGTTCTTCTAGGATGGGGTCAGAACAGAATGGGGGGAGGGGGGAATTAAGAAGGAGGGGGGGGGAGGGATTAAGAAGAAGGGGAGGGGGAAATTAAGAAGAAGGGGGGAATTAAGAAGGGAGGGGAAATTAAGAAGGAAGGGGGGGAATTAAGAAGGGAATTAAGAAGGGGAGGGGAATTAAGAAGGAGGGGATTAAGAAGAAGGGGGGATTAAGAAGAAGGGGAGAGGTGGGGGGATTAAGAAGAACAGGGGGCTGGGGATTAAGAAGAACAGGGGGATTGGGGGAATTTAGAAGAACTGGGGGTTAAGAAGAACAGGGGGAGTAAGAAGAACACAGAGAGGAGGGGGAAGAGTAAGAAGGACACAGAGGAGGGGAGAGAAGGGGAGATGAGGAGAACACAGAGAGGGGGGAGGTGAGAAGAACACAGGGAGGGTGGGGGAGTGAGAAGAACACAGGGAGGGTGGAGGGAGTGAGTAGAACACATGGGGGGAGGTGAGGAGAACACATGGGGGGGAGTGAGAAGAACACAGGGAGGGAGGGGGCTGAAAAGAATACCGGAGGTTTGGGGGGGTGGGGGGATGAGAAGAGCACAGGGAGGGTGGGTGGGTGTGAGAAGTGACTGCTAGGGAAGGGGGGGGGAGAGACCACTAAGGGGCAGGGGAGAGCTCTATAGGACAGGGGGCAGGACAGGGAGCTCTTTCACACTACGCGCACACACACAATGCATCCCTATACATACACAAACACACAATGCATCCCTACACACACAGAAACACAACATGCTTCCCTTACACACAGAGAAACACACAATGCATCCATTACACACAAAGACAATGCATCCTTGCAAAACACACAATGCAAACTCTTCCACACACATGCAAACACACACACTGCTTCTCTTACATATACACAGAAACACAATGCATTTCATACACACACTCAATGCACACACTACAGACACACACCTTGCATCCCTTATGCATACAAACACAGATTCACACAATACATCGCTTATACACAAACACACACTGCCTCCACTACAAATACACTGCATCACCTACACAAACTGGTATCCCTATACACTACATACCATAAGCACACACATTAGATCCTCTACAATAACACATAACACATCCCCTACACACTCCACTCCCTGTGAGCGAACTCATGGGTGGAACATGTAGGTGGACTTTTAGGTGGGCCTTATGGGCATACTCACCGTCAGGCCCTGGGACCCAGACCTTGAGCTGTTTAAGGGGCCCAAAAAAAATGGAGCTGCTTCCCATTCTACTAGAACTTTGAATTTTGTGACCACAGCCTTCAGAGATCCTCTTCTACACCAGACCAGTGGAGCCAAACCGCAGCCCATCATCATCCTCATCTGGTTGTAAGTAGGCAATCTAGTATATTATTAGTGACACTAATCTATAATTTACCTCACATTAAAGGGACACTATAGCTTAATGAAGTGGTTCTGGTATCTATAGCTGGTCCCTGCAGGCTTTTTAATGTAAACACACACTGTGTGCAGCTTTGGCATTAGTTCATATGGCAGATTATATAGGTGGGGCATTGTGATGTCACATGGGGGGCAGCTAATTTTTCCTTTGCCTAGGGCAGCAAAAATCCTTGCACCGGCTCTGATCCTGGGCAGGTGCACCAGTCTACTGGTGACCCACAGGAGGGGATTGCACTGTACTCTCCTCCTGCCCAGACCTGTCTTTACCGCAGTGCAAGTGCCCTCTGCCCCTAATTTACAGTGGCTCACACTCACAGCAAGCAGTGCCTGGAGCCCTTTGCAGCGATAGGAACTAAGAGGTTCTGCGGCAGGTGGCCGTCCTGCAAGCATTACATTAAACAGCTGTTCCCCATGCAGCCACAGGTGGCGCTGTGCTGGGAGAATGTGATTACTCTTCACTTCCTCCCAGCCTACAGCGCAGCGCATGGGAGAGGGAGAGGAGGAGGCATGATTTAATCTTACAACAAATATATTAAGCAAATCTTTGGGGGGATCAGCTCTGTTTGCACAGTTTATTGGTGTTTACTCTGATGTCTGTATTAATATTGAGGGATTTCTAAGTAGTAACATCAGTATGTGTCAGCAGGGCCAGCCGTTGGGGTGTGCAAGCTGTGCGGTCACGCAGGGTGCCATGACAACAGAGGCGCCCGGCGGCCAACACAGCTCACAAGTTGGGGACCCCAGCATATTCAATTTAAATGATTCGCTGGTGGTCCACTGGTGCGCACCAGCAGTAGGTGCAGTCAGATTATATCCTCTCCCTCATGGTTCTGGCGCTCAGTTAGTGAGTTAGAGCACAGGCTCAGAGATTCTCAGCCTGCGTTCTGACAACATTGAAGGAGCGGGTATGGCAAACAGCTACTGATTAGCATAACATCAATATCCGTTATAAAACCAGGTGGGCATGGATGGTGAACTGATTTGGTGGTGCAATGGGCCACTTGACTGGTTTTGCCCCCCAGGCCAAAGGCTGCCAGCCCTCCCCTGTTCATCAGGGTCTCAAGGCTCGAGCTCTGTCCACTTCCTGGTCAGTTGTTGCACAAGTCTGATCTGATCAGGTCTGCAGAGCAGATATATGTTCATCTAAGAATACCTTTATCCAGCTCTATCAACTAGATGTGAGGTCTTCTAAAGAGGCTCAATTTGGTACCAATAATTTCTAGTCTGGATCTGACTTGAATCCCTGAGCTATAGTCTCTAAAAACATTGTTTTAAAACATCCTAAAAGTAACTTTTTATGGCTCTGTTTCTCGGCTGCATTAGACAAAGTCAATATACAATTAGTTTTCCCTTCAGAAACTTTAGCTCTGCAGCCCATACAATTGTTTCTCTTTTTGGTTTAACTAAACTAATAAGTCTGAGATGTTCTTCTGTGAAACGACACAAATGGTCTTATAGGTAATCTGTTTTGGCCTACATGGCTCTAATATGTCCCCAATAAAAATATATATTTCCTTCTGTTATACAAGAAACAATAAGCTTTGCATAAGTAAAAATCCAGATCACATATATCACAAATAAAATTGCACATCAAATTTTATTAGCTTTAAAAATAAAAACACCTGCTAAAACATATTTTAGGATTTTTCATATCAACAGTAGAACAAATACAAAAATACTTGCAAGTTGTATTTTATCATAAGTTAAAAATGTGGCAAATTCATAAACTTTAGTGGAGGTAATAAAGAAACAATTTGTATCCTTTTTACAGCAGTCAACATATTTTTTATTCAAAAAATATTATAAGGGAAGTGATTTTGATGAGCTAATGCATTGGTTAAAGCCTCACTTTTCTGGAATTTCAACACTGCAAAAAATATTGAAAAAATCAATAGAACTTGTGTTAACCCCGTTTGTCATGTGACGCTGTGTTTTCTTTTAAATGTTTATTAAAGTTTTAGCAATTGACAGCACAATCAAGTTCACTCCTAGCACAATATGACTATCACTGGCTGCCCAGGACCTCCAGCCCCCATAATCGCCTCCATTTAAAGTTATTTTGGGAACTGGAGTGTTCTTTTAAGGTATATATATTTATTTTGTAATCACGATGAACACTTAAGTTACACATTTTGCAAAACGACAGGGTTTAAACTCAAATGTAACTTGCAATTTATTGTTTTTTTATTTAAAAGTGAATAACGTAGAAATGGCCTGTGCTTAAAATATAGCATTTGTTTTAAAATAAATCAACAGCTTGTACATATCTCTACTGTACAATGGATCATTCTGTAATATTTACAAATATATTTAAACATTGTAAATCTTTGATAAAATGAAAATTAGAAATTACGACAATCTTGCTCCAATAATGAAACTATTACTATTCTTCCTGCTGCTTTTATTTCTAGCTACCTCTAGATCAGGGGATGCAAATCAGAATATCCCATAAGTACATTCCATGTGGTATAAGTTTTCATATAAATACACAATATATATATGAAATTACAAGTGTTCAAAAGTAATATTTTACAAATGTTTGCTACTTTTGTTTAACAGTAACGTTAGCATCCTATGAAACAAAAAGTTTAAAGGAACTCTATAGTTTTAAATGTGCCGTTTACATGTGTGCCCCCTCTCCTGATTTTAAAAGTTATTAAACTCACCTTCATTCTAGTGACGCTGGCTTCACCCCGTTCCACCTCCTTGGATGAGATAATTTAATTTGATGATCTCGGCCAATCTAATCCTTTCCCAAAAGCATTGTGAGGCTACTGCGCATGTGTGAATAACATGATTCAATGCATCTCTATGGGGAACATTCAGTGCCTGATGCAGAGTGTGGAGACATTAAACATCAGTGCTGTACATAATGCAGCTCTGCTCCAGGAACCAACCACCTCTGGTCAGTGGCGTACTAAGGAGGGAGTGGAGGGGGCGGTCCGCGTTGGGTGCCACTCACTAGGAGGGGTGCACTTTGATAGGGCCAGGCTGCTTACAGGAGTCTCCACGCTTGTTTCAGATCCAGCAGCAGCAGGACCTCTATTCTCGCGATCCGTGAGAGCGTTGCCGCAGGTTGCCATAGCAACCCGTGTCAACATTCTCACAGATCACAACAACAGAGGACCTGCTGCTGTTAGAGGTGGATAAAAGATGGACACTCCTGGACCCCTATGCTGTGCCACTGGACCACCAAGGACAGATGCTGTGCCACTGGACCATCAGGGACCTATGCTGTGCCACTGGACCACCAGGAAATGTAGTGTGTCCCCCCTCCCTGGACACAGGTAAGAGTCAGGGAGGGGGGAACAGACAAGAGTCAGAGAGGGGGGGCAGGTAAGAAACAGGTAGGGGGGGCAGGTAAAAGTCAGAGAGGGGTAGGACAGATAAGAGTCAGGGAGGGGGTGCAGGTAAGAGACAGGGAGGGGCGGGCAGGGGTGCCAGATATAAGATCTGCCCCGGGAGCCAAATGCTTGAGTGACCATATGAGTGATTGCCTGGGCAGTATTGTATACACTGCCTTTTCTCTGAAAAGGCAGTGTTTACATTAAAAAACGTGCAGGGGCATGTTACACACACCAGAAAAACTGTCATTCTGGCGATTATTGTGTCGCCTTAATTAAAAATACAAAATAATAAACAAACAACAAACAGACATACATTTTATATATTCCTAACATGTTAAACAAAAACAAATATAATTTAATATTAGAAAATTATTTTTAAAAACATGCAGAATATCCCTGCAATATATTAGAAGTCGAATGCTATCATTTGATTTTGTAGACTATGCACAAATCAAATTTCAGTTAAATGAGGTGAAACCACATAGTATTTAACCCCTTAAGGACGCTGGACGGACATTTTCCGGCATTGCAGCACTCCCCTTAAGGACGCTGGATGGAAAATTTCCATCCAAAATGAAAATTAACCCGATTGCCACAATCGCGGCAATCGTGGGGTTAATCTTCCTGTAGTGTGTCTCCATATCGGAGGCACACTACCATGGGCAGTTTCACTGATTCAGCCCATGTGATCGCTCTGACTGGGAGTTAGAGCGATCACATGTGCTGCAGTGAAACCCGATCTGTTTCCCTGCATCTCTGTGAGAGCTGTGAACTCACCTCTTTCAAATAAAATTTAACCCCTTCCCTGCCCTTTGATCACTGCCTGCAGTGATCAAAATACAGATCACAGTATTTCACTGTGATCTGTTTTTTTTTTACACCTGAGGGTTAATTTTAATTTTTTTTAATCATCAGGGGTGAAATGTATTTAATTATTTTAAATATTTTAAAATTTATTTATTTAGCTAGGGTGGATAGAAGTTAGTGGGGAAATTGGGGGATTTACAGTTAGGCTAGTTAGGGGTTAAAAATAAAAAAAAAACAATTAAAAGTAAAAAAATACTTTTGAAAAGTTGAAACAAAGTTTTAAAATAGTAAAATAAGTTCTTAAAAGCTAAATAAAACTTTTTAAAAGTTAAACTTTTAAAAATTTAAAAAAACATTTTTAAAAGGGGGAAGATGTGTATTACCTCTACACTTGGTACAGGCTAGCAAAAAAATGATACCACGCTAAGGTTTCAAATATGCCTTTTGAAACACCCTGGGGTGTCTTCTTTAGGAAATGGTATGCCTTTGTGAAGTAATTGGAAAACACAACCTATTAAACAAATTCCAAAGTGGGGCATGGACCCAGCGTGAAAATTCAAACTTAAATGGCTATGTCTCAAATGTGCCTCTTCAACGTTGTCATGTACCTGGTAAAGGTACATATGGGGGTATTGCTGTACTCAGATGACATAGCGGAGCAACATATGATGTATTATACTGCTGTAGCATATATAAGGTTTGCAAAATATATATTACAAACTCATTAAGTATGTCAAAAATGCATAAAAAATGCTTATTACCACTACACTTGGTATAAGCTAGCGGAAAAATTATTTCACGCTAATGTTCAAAACACGTCTTTTGAAATACCCTAGGGTGTCTTCTTTATGAAATGGTATGCCTTTATGGGGTCGCTGGAATAATTAACCTACAAAAAAAACCTCCAAAGTGGGGTATGGACACAGCGTAAAAATGTAAAATTTGAAAAAACTTAAATGGCTGTGTCTCTGAAAATACAGTGTTTACTGCAAAAATTCTGAAGGAACTGACTATACTCACCAGACCAACTACATTAAACTACAGTGTCCCTTTAATATATCTTTCACACCTAATGGATCAGTTGAAACGTATTTTTTAAGGTGTCGCCGTGTATAACATCAGTGGTAAGACCTCACCTATATCATCAATATTCAGTGCAATTTTTAGGCAGTTTTAAAGAAGGATATTGCAGAACTAGAATAAATGCAGAGGCGAGCTACAAAATCAATAAGGGGGTTTGGAAAACAGTTATGAAGAAAGGCTAGAAAAATAAACATTTATTTTCTTTAGAGAACAGGGTCAGTACAAAACGATATGCGCTAACCTGTTCATTAGCAGGAATTTATAACAGACAACAGGTCATCCATCGAGACTGGAAAAAGGGAGTTTTCACTTACAGCAGAGGAAATGGTTCTTTACAGTAAGACCAATAAAGATGTGGAATTCTATGCCAAAATAACTTGTTAGATTCTATAAATATACATTTATTTTTTTAAAGGCCTGGATTTTCTTTTTTTTTTTTTTTAAATGAATATTTAATGATGAGTTTTAAAGGTTGATCTCTTTGGACTTACAACCTAAATTACTATGTAAATATCCTTATATGGCCTCTGTAGGAAAAGCTATTGAGCCATGTTTAACAAAGAAGTTAATTTTGTTGCTGTAATATCTTGATTTGGGTGCTTGTTAATTAGTTGACTGCTCAAGTACCAGGCAAAAGCTTTCTTGCAATGACAGATATCCACATTTTAATTGTTATTTTATCCACCATTTCCTGCTTGAAGGAGCGTTAATATTAGAAATACAAATTTAAGTGTTTTTCTAACGGTTTAGCTTTTTGGAGCACCCCTTAAAAAGTTAATAGCTGTGCATAAATTAATACCTGCTTACTGACCACAACTCTATCACAGTAAGTAATGGTTATCATTTTGCTCTGTTATCACACGTGATAAGTTAATAGGTGATCAAGTAATTTTAAATGAAGACAGTCTGTGTTGTAATAATATTTCTTCCAATACCAAATGATTTTGTACTGTGCAGTATTCTTACACAGTTTGCAATCTGTTGTCAATGCACATTCTTCAGACTTCCAAAATTAATCAGTAGCATACACTCACTTCATCTTGAGAAAATAAGTTTTCATTAAAACAAATATTAATGGTGGTGCTCCGTTAGTGTAAAAAAAAAATCTCTCAGTAGAAAAACACATAGGCACATCTCTGGCATGTCCATTTTGCAGGCAACAATCCTGCACACGTTTACTTTTGATATATATGGGACAAATCTTTCCAGAACAAAGCTGAAGTCATAGTTTTTTTGTTCTTCCACCATTAATTGGTTTTAAAAGATTATCGGCAGAAAGGCATAGATATGATTCAAGACAGATTAATGTTTGAATATGTACCTTCATTGTGAATGTTCCTTTTAATTTATTGGTTGACCCATATTTATAGAGTTTTGGAAACATTGTTTGGAACCAAAAGTGTTTATCCAAGAACCCAGAAAAGTGGTACAATCATAAAGATATTAAATATATATGTTTAAAAAGTTAGAAGTCAGTTGTAAGATTCTTTGGAACGGTAGCTCCTGGGGATTGGCTAGACACTGCTTTATTTGATATATTGCGACCACTTGTGACTCAGATGTTGCATTATGAAGATGTGGACATGACACTGTGTATCTGAATGAAAGATCGAAGATCGCTTTTAAATCCTGGCCGGTAGACAACATCAAGATGTACAGATAGCACCAAAATCAGCAGTAAAAACTAAACAAGATTTCAAATCAACTGTGTGATGATTCATATGAGATTTGACTCATGCCTCACTTCTTAGGTATTGGATATGGGATCTTCTTGTGAGTTTGTAATGCTGTTTTTTTCTGGTCATGGCGGAGACTTCGAATGGTACTGTTTATGGCAGCAACACATGCTTTCCAGTCATAGCCAGATTCCTTCAGATCAAAAGATGGGTAGTTCTCTTGAAGAAAGTCTGGAGATTAAAGGTGGAGGAAAATGATAAACTTCAGAAAATAGGACTGAAACTTATTTATGTGATAATAACTTTGAAATAAAGCAACTATAATTTAGATAAGTTATAAAAGTCTAGAATTACAGGTAAAAGCAGTGTTTAGCATTAGCGAGGAACTGTCACGTATCTTTAGTTGATGTATTTTTGTGTATGCATCCCAGTAAACACTATTCCTATGAAAGGTTTTGTGTATTTACTGCTAAATAAACCAGGTAATGGAAACTGCCATTTTAAAAATTATTTAAATTTTCAGCTCTACATTCAAACCCAGCTATTGACAGGATTCCTTCTAATTGTTTCAACTTAGGGAAATGAGGGAACATTGCATGATCTCAGCTGATACTGTACAGGAGATGAGTCCATGTGGATTTAGGACTGGATATCAATATAGGATTAAAGGTTGTTTGGGGTAGCGTTAGGGAGACTTAGCGCTATGAGTGGAATTCCTCTGGTCCTTATTATGGGAACTAACCAAATGAACAAAGGGGATGTGGCTCTTCGTGAATAACTCAATTAGCCAAGTTATATTGAGATTCAGCTTATTTAAACAGGCACCACAGTGCCCCTAAATGGAAATGCAAATTAAGTTGATAGAAACAAATTTAACTTGACATGCATAGCCAAGTGGGTTAAAACAGCTAAAATGTAACAGCTAATCAGCACTTGCCTGATATTTAGTTGCGGCTCAGCATTTAGTGAATATTCAACTGTATGATAGCTACTATGGTGTTCACAGTTAATTAATTCTAGCAATATTGATCCTACCCTCAGTATGTGTATACTAAGATTATACATTTTAAAAATACATATACCTCTTAAAGCACTCATTTTGTTGCTATCCAATGGAAGCACACCACGTTCCAGATTCCCATAGACATTGCTCTTCACAAGCACATCTTCCGTAAAGAGATGTCTTATAAGATATCTGGCAGAGAGCTCTGGACGAGACTTCCCCTTTGCAATATAAATAACAGAGAATGGTAACTGGACGTTCCTCCCGACTTCACCAAATTGTTCTAGTAGAAAAACAAACAGATCATGGAAAATATAAACTCTACAGCCCTGCTATCATTTTAAAATAGTAAAGTAAGTCAATTAAATTTTTCTGGTCAAGGAAATTACCCAGAGGATCATAGGGTTGTTGCTTTGATAAAGACCCTGGTAAAATGTGTTCCAGTCCATTGTCATATTGCTGGTCTACTGTTGTAGTAGCTGTGGTGTTTGGTTGTATTGTAGCAGAAGCAGTTGTTTCGTGCGGTTTTTCAAGAACCTCTGTAAACATTGAGACTTTTTCACCTTCTTCAGCATCAGAATCCACACAAATTGATTCTTCAGTCTTTTGATGAGCTGTCTGATTTGGATAAATTTTTGCCTTCAAAATAAAATATGTATTTAAATGGATAGTATAAACAACACACAGCTTTAGCGTAAAAAGGACACTGTAGGCATCAAAACAACGTTAACTTAATAAAGCAGTTTTGGTGTATAGCTCATGTCCCAGAAGTCTCATTGCTCAATTCTCTGAAATTTAGATGTAGATCGCTTTGTTTATGCTGTCCTAGTCACACCTCCCTGCATGTGTCTTGCAAAGCCTTCCTAAACACTTCCTGTAAAGAGAAATCTAATGTTTATGCTTCCTTTATTGCACATTCTGTTTAATTTAGAATTTCGGATCTCCTGTCCTGCTCTATTGGCCTGCTAGAGTTTGTAGGAGCCTCATGTGTGTAATCAAAGTTCAATTTACAGAGCAGGAGATACACATTTCTAACTTATAATTATTCACCAGTGTGCTAGTGATCAGATTTAAATATTCTATAGTTTCCCTTTACTGAAGCTTAATTTTGTGTGACTTACTGTGATGGTCTTGTCTTCTGCTTGTAAAGTGCGAATCATGGAGTTAATGTTTGTGATGCAGGTTTTCCAGTCTTTTCCATGTTCACAGAGATCACATTCTGGGAAAGTAGATGTTAAGAACTCTGTAAAAAAAAAAAAAAAATTTTTTTTTTAAAAAGACGATCATCCAGGCCCACAAAGCCAGAGTAAACGGGTTACATTAACTTATCACTGCCCTAATTGTGGTGTTTATCCTCAGCTAAGGGGATGTTTTGTATCTACTGCTTACATATTCAGCATGCACATTTACAATAAAGAATTATATATTTTTCAGTACAATTACAGGTTAAAAACATTTCTGGGTAGGATGTCCATAGTAACTTGAAATGTAGTGTTATTCACTAAAGTGGGAATTGCTGATCTTACCCTTTTGTGTTTATGAAGATCTTATCAAAATGGCAGCTCAAAGGTCTCTTGCTGCAGTACGGTTCAGGGATGGGACCCCTTTAATTGGGGAGGTCATTGCTAAGGTCGCTGACAGTTATTTAATGGATAAACTTACGGCTATAGTCCGCAGTACCATTCCCTCCTTCCATAAGACATGGGACCCAGGACATGAGTATACCTCTATACTTTTTCCTTTTTCTTCCACCACAGCAGGTGTTAACGCTCCCTCATTTTATATTTTAATTATTTTTTTACAATATTTATTTGTGTTAAGTTTTTAGTCATACATAGTTTGACGACAAAAATAAAGGAGAGAAAACATGCCGTACAAAGCCACTTTAGATTAAATGTGATTTATTCCTATACATTTATCCTAAAATCTGAGCTTTTCAGCATTTTGCAATTAGTTAAAGTCAGCCACATCTCCTAAGCTCTTAATAGTTGTGCTCATCTTTTATATATAATATACAAAATTTTGGCAGTTGTTTGATCGTATAGAAACCCCCTATCCCTGCGTAACAAGAGTCATATGTGTGATATACATTTTTACTCTATAAATTGACCTCTAAAAACTTTAGTAGCTTTTATACCAAAAAGATATGTACTCTCAGCCAGAATAAGTTCACACACAGGACCTCTACCCTTCTCGATGGCTTTGCATTTGCATCACTCCCTTCCCTTAATCCTGCATTAGAGAAGTCCTCACTTTTGCCCCCTGAGGCCTATGTAACTTATGTAACTGCCTCACTGGAAGAAATTGTTTACCTGTTCTAACCATTAGCTTTATTTATATCCTGTATTTCAAAAATAAACACCATTGTGGAAGGTTTCCTCAAGACCGCTGAGGCATGCTAAACGAAACTAAGAGCCTCCCTGGACCAGGGATTTTCAAGGCAAGGCAACATGCTAGTTTGTCACAATTGCAACAGTCAATAAACTCCAGTCATTGCTCAGCTGCCTGCATACCTCTTACTGCTGAAACAATATTGACATCAAGAGAGCTCATACTCTCTGCATTCGTTCCTGTGGCACAGCCTATTAATGTCTCTTTAGAGAACAAAATACGAAACAAATATCGTGCTGAATACTTTGGCTTTGTCTTCTGTCTTGCTTTCATTAAATAACTTCCAGGAATTTTTATGTTTCGAGCTGGGTTTCCAAGGAACTCTAAAATTAAGAGATATAAAAAGAGATCATAAAATTAGTGTATTTTAAAATAGCACTTAATTTTAAAGCAAATATAACATTCTTTCAGATATTTACAAGCATGGCCTCACAAAATCCCTTTAAATAAAGCATAAATAAATAAATTACTATAAAAAACAAATTTAAGTAAAGCAAGAACTAACAAAACAAGATTATTGTAACTCACCATATCCAGCAATACTTGGAACGGAAGATGAAGGTTGTTCCTCACTCATAATTATGCCTCCAGGTGAAGCCACACGGGTTGTGGGAAGTGGGTCCTCTTCTTTGAAATTTGCTTCAGATGTCGTCTGTCTAATAATAGGAGGTGCCACTGATGCACTTATAATTGGTGATGAAACGAAAGTGCTTTCAGGTAAGACCTCAACTACATCTTGTGAATTGTTATTCTGGGTGTCTGACACAGAAAAAGAAGTCTGCAGAGAGTGCGTAGAGATTATAGTGGGGAGAGGAGGACTTCTCTGTTGGGGTTCAATAGACTGAGATCTTGCATGAGCGAGTTTAAATGAGGTGGAAGGCTGTAGTCGTATGTTTCTTACTACCTTCATCCCTAGTGGAGGTGGATGATATCCTTGTGGAGGGGGTGGCACATGTGGACTCAGTACTCTTTGGTTTAATTTATGTTGCCTAATTTTGAACTGAGCTGAAAGAGGTGAACTTCTGTGTGGAGGGACAAACGGTCTCTGTGCACATATTAAAAATATTAGCAAAAAATAATTAAAAAACATTAATTATAACATTGTCAACAATTTTATTTCAGTTTATCTCTCTCTATCAGAGAGGATGGTCATCATTAGTCCACCTATTTTATGCATTGCCACCTTCAATTGTGCATATTATTATATTCTATCAAATTTATACTTGAATGATCAAGAAATTTGGTTTTGCATGGTATGATTTTATAGTGTATGCAAGCAGCTAGTAAGATAATGAATAAAAGCATCTACCCTGCATTTTCATATCGTTAGATAATACATGGTATAAAAGTGTGTTAGGATTTGATGCCTCTGTGTCAAAAATAAAATCCAGGAGTTTTTCATTCTCTGTAAGCTCACTTTGATAGAATTTTTCTCCATGAATGAAAAATTGGGTTTAAAAAGTTTAGATAAAAAAAAAAAAAGCAAAAAAGCCAGAACACGACCTAATACCACAGAATCCAATTCAAAATATTTTAGTGTCTACACATTGTGATAGCTGAGATATGAAATTAAAGAATAATTTGATTTAATTTCACAAAAATGTTTGCAGTAAATAAAGTTTTATGAATTAGTCAAAATATCAACATGGAAATGTCAAATGAAACCAAGTTTCCCTTTTTATGGCTATAAAAATATAGATTTTTGTTTTCAATTTATAGTCCCATTTTAAATAACTTGACCATCAAATGATGTCACATCGTTATACAAGACAGATTTTAACATTTACTTACAGGTCTAAGTCGAACATGGTGCATATCTGAAACTTTTCTCTGGAGCACGTCCATTTTCTTATCCAATTTCTGAACTATGTCATACATGGCCTATCATAATAAATGTACAAGGACATTAGTTCTGAAATGAATCAGGTTAAAAATATTTTAAAAGGCTTGAACCTGTTTAGTTATATTTACCAGTGTATAGTTTATACTAATAATTTGCACTCTTAATTAAGGGGCATTAGCACAATATTACCACCAACATAGCCAACATAGCTAAAAGGACCATCCCTTTTGGCAATGCAGAACAGATTCGGTCATGCTTCACTTTCTGCTTGCATAGTATTATGAACTGTCTATCTGTTATTATCTTGTTTAAAGTTGTGTTCAATAAAAACAAAAAAAAAAAATGTATTTAAAAAAAAAAAAGTTTTTTTCATGCTGTTTTTCTAGGGGGGTTTCCCAGTGCCCAAAGCATACTTTCTTGCTCGGTACATGATAAAAAAAATTTTTTTTTTATTCTTTAAGTCATAATAAGGCAGTACCAAACAGCAACTAACGCTTCTATTGATCAAGAATTGTCAAAGCCTCCCTAAAGACAGCAATTTAAAACAGGGGATATCGGCTAACTAAAGATAGTAAAGATATATTCTCTTTTTTTAAAGGAAATGTTTAAAAAACAGGACATTCATATACGCAGGATTGTTTTTAGAAACACTGATTAGCATGACAGATTAGTATGTCCAGTCTAGCAACTATCAATGTACATAAAACGTCATTGTTTTCATTTTTCAGGGTATCCTTATGCATAACCGAGAGAACTTTTACATTTCTTAACAATGTTAGCCCCAGGAAACTCAACTGGAACTCAATTCCGGGCATCTATGATCCAATATGTAGCCTTTTCACACATTTATCCTCCATCTTCCAATCTCACCCTTAAAATCAATCCCCTTTGCTCTAGAAAAATAAATTGCTTTCATATTGAATTTTATTAAAACCTTGAACATATTTAAAGTTCTCCAAAGCAAATATTGTTTTCCTTCCTTCCTTTCTTCCTCGTCATGTCAAGAACCTCCATTTTCAATGAGAAAGTGCTGGTGTTTCTAGGTATAATATCACATGGGAAGTGTATGTATAAAAAAATTACAATAACTGGCAAAACAAGGATTACAAAACACCTTTGTTCCTTATGTCTGCTCAAGTGTACCAAAATGATGTTGCAATACATTTTACTTTGAATGTATATAATGGGTCTGATGTCACTCTACAGAACCAGAGATCTTGAAAGAACTGTTCACACTTTAGACACACATTCTAAACACACATCAAAGCAAAGATGATTTTTGTAGAAGATGACAAAGCTGATACATGTTTACATCAATGTGAAAATGTATTATTTTGTTCTGGTGACTATTTTTTTATGTGGAGAACAGATTTGATCACCTGGCAGTAGTTAAGGACCTCTGCAAGAATTCTCTGTTGATCTCCAGTGTAAGAACTCTCTGACATGACACTCGCCTGCAAGATAAAATAACATTGTTAATTATTTCAGTTGCCAATATATACCAAGTGCCACAAACCATGAGATAGTGTCATCATTGATAAGATATTGGACATGTGCTACATCTGAATAGACCTATTTTTTTTGTTCCACCCTCTTCATATCTTTGCACTTTATGTATAACAACAGAAGAATGTATTAAAATACAGTCATCTTTAATACATGAATTAATCAAGTTTCACTGTCTCAGATAATCATATTTACATAAAACATTATCATATGCACTTAGCAAACACAACTCACAAAGTTAAACAGTCATTCATACAAAAACATACATACATAAACAAACCCTAATACAAAGACACATACCATATATATATATATGCAATTATATGCTACTAGCCAGAGCTAAAAGGTACTCTCAACTACAAGTCGTAGTACGTAACTTCTGTGAATTGAAAGGACAGAATGCACAGCCACCCTTCCCCAAAATTACTTTTGTAGTATCTGATCATTCTAAGCAAGCTGGTGCATGCTAGGTGTTGCAGGATATCTTGTGCAGCTGCCTTTGGGCAATGAAATCAAAGGTTAGGAAGAGGCAGCAAAGGTTAAAGAAATAAAAAATAAAAAAAAACAGAAATGGAAATAGCTTTTCAGAAAACATTTGCAAGCAACTTGGCTACCACAATGTGTATACACCAGTGTGATTGTGTAATACATGAGTTAAAAGCCAATCACAGTGAAGTGAAGTTAGGGGACCAGTAGATTATTAACGCTTACCTTTTTTTAAGTGTATCTGCACATCTATACATGTGAAGAGGAGGAGATACAGGAATTTACTTGTGATCTCTCTCCCCCACACTTGTGTAAGATTGTATTCGAGGTGTGCAGGCTGTATGTTACAGATCAGAACTCCCTGCACAGTGCCTGAGTTACATGAGAGTGCGATCATGTTTACAGAGCGCTAAATTGCCAATGCCCAGCTCTATTATCTAACGTGATTTCTGTGGCTCACAGATATGAAGTGTGTGTCCATTGTTACAGTAACCAGCTGTTTTTAAAAGAGAACTGACGCTAGTGGATTCATGGGAAATCTACGGCTGAATTTCCAATCGCCAGGGCTGACTTTTCAAAAGTTCACTGCTATTAGGCGAGTGGCAAACAATCATTCTAAATTACCACTCACCCCCCCTCCCGCGTTTGGCGAGAGGACATTTGGGCTCTGTGATTGGGAAATGCGGCCTGCAGCCTTTCAAATTATTGTCTGGGCTTCTGGAAAGAAGACATTTTAATTTAACAGTGGCTGTAGCCTGAGTACATGGGAGACTCTGGTTTTTATTATTTTGTTATTGTATTAATTTTGTGTTGCTAGTCTCTCAGCCATGACCATGTTCTCATTCCTCTTTTAACCTTCCATATGTTATATATCTGATCTCTGATCAATTAGAAGTCAACTCATACTTCCTTAGATGTCTCCACTTTAAAATCATTGTGTATGTGGGGTTTATTCGCTAAAATCGGAAATGCAAAACTGTGGCTAAAATAGCCAAACTGTAGAATTGTTGGAGAAATTTTTTCCACATGAGCTATTTTTGCTTCAATTTCCCCATTCAACTTCTAAGTATGTACAATGCAAGGTTTAATGAATGAATCCAAAAAAAATCTCTATGTGCATTATTCTGGTCATTGTGGCTACTGAGCATAAGGATATTTACTAAATATCAAATTTAAAATAAAAAAAGTTTTACATATCTATTAACCCACCAGTACCCAAATGCTGCTTTAATGAGCCTTGATTCGAAGTGTTTTTTTTTGTTAATTTATTTCAAAAGGAAAACAGAAATGGCCTCCGATTTTGATGAGGAAGAGAACTAACAATGACATGGGGGCACAGAAGGGACACTGACATTAACAGTTTGTAGGCTAGTAATGTGAGCAGGCAATACTGCTACTGGAATCTGTTCAATCAACAGCAGAGCCTATTGTAACAGGATGTATTTTGAATGAAAAAATTGCAACAAAAATAGCCAAGATGTGACTATTTCTGATTTGAATTTTTTATTTTAATGAATAGCCTTGAAAGTGTGGGAGGTCAGGTTGCTCAGTAAATGCAGACATCAGCATACGCATCATGAATGAAATTGAGAATAAAGATGGCAAGCAACTTTTAGGCCTGTCTAGTGGAAATTTTCAGCATTGTATATGTACAGCGCTACGGAACTTGCTGGTTCTATATAAATAATAAAATTATATATATATATATATATATATACACACATACATACATACATACATACATACACACACACACACACATACACACACCACACACATAAACACACAAACTGATATGAACACACCCTTGAATTATACTCTCTTCCTCCCTTCTGACTACTTTTATTGGTGATGAGAAGGAAGTAGAGCTTAGAGGTCTGCAGCTCTGTCGCTGGTTTCTAGTTAGGGAACAGGCTGAGTCTATGTGACGTCTAAGCAGAGATAGCATACTCCTCTTTAACTTCTGAGAGCTCTGAATTTACATTTACATTTTTTATGAACGTTTTCTTTTCTTTTAGACGAACGTTACTTACAGCATCATATTCTGCATCATATTCATACATGACATTTGAATTGCTGTCATATTCTTGTCCCCGTAATCCTACCTGCAAACACAAAATAATAAACCGTTAACTACATTAAATTTGGAAAGTTACTATAGCAGGTTAATGTTCGGAGCCAGCCTATTGCATATACTAAATTACATATCTTGGGGTACTGTGTGTAAGAAGCGATATCAATTATACATACTGTATTCACCAATCCAGACGAAGTTCTCTTGCGTTTTTGTGGAAAACTGTATTCTATTTCATCAGTATTATCACTCTGGATGTTTGGCAAATGCTTTAAACGTGGCATTCCAGATCTGTTCAACGAGGATACATCTTCACCCTCTGAAAATAATGATGGAATAGGATGCATACAAACAATAAATTCTTTACATGAGAAATATTTGTGACTACTGAGTTATCATATGTATATCATAATATAGGGTGTGTTTTTTTAAAAACACATTTTGAAGATGATTAGCAAAGTACAAAGTTATCAGACTTCACAGATTTGTGAATAATATGTTGTTTGGTTGTTTTGTCTTCAATAAAACATGTGTCAATGAGAACTCACTTATAAAAGGAGTGTGCTGTTGACTATAGGCTTTGCCAGACTGAACTGAAGCCTCAGGAAATTTCACAAGATAAAATAATTAAAAGGTACAGCCAGAGGCGTAACTAGAATTCACTGGGCTCCGGTGTGAAAATTGCCCTGTGTTTCATTCCCCCACCCCTTGGTGTCTCATTCCCACACCCAGGCCCCCCCATGTGCCTCATTCCCTCTGCCCCACAGCCCCTCCATGTGTCCTATTCCATGTATCCCATACTCTCGCTCCCCCTCCTCCCCTACCTTCCATATGTCCAATACTGGTTAAGAAAAACAAAACCAATTTATAGTATCGTAGAGCTTGTTATTTCAGTGTTCATGTCTAATATATATATATAGTACTTTACCATACTCTAATTGAGTCACGTAATGGTTTTCATCCCTTCTTTGAGAAGTATGCTGCACTGGTAACATGGTTTGTATAGGAAGACAATTCTGGGAATCAACTTCAGCGCTGCTTTCAATAAGGACGGGCTCATCATCTTCATCCTCATCCTCCACATTTAGGCTTATAAAGTCTACAGTAAAATACACATTCAAGAATTTCATGAAATAGCCCCATAATTCATTTGCACTTTAGTAGAAACACAAGAATAAAAGGGACAGTCTATGCCCTATAACAACCTCATCACACTGAAGTAGTTATAGTTACCTGAAGTCTCCCTGGCATCATGCTCCTCAGCACTCTGTGACTCTGCTCTGTGACATTCGCTTTGCGGCTATGTTTCTTCTGTTTGTAAATGCTTCCACTTTCCAATAATATCACTTATAGTTGACCATGGAACATCTAGCTGGGATTCTATCCCAACACCACGCTTGTATAGAGTGACTTTTCAGAACGACCCATTTTTTCACAAATGTTTGTAAATGCAGACTGCATGGCTAGCAAATGCTGGAGGCGCATATGATAAAATTACTGAAACCAGATAAAGATCCGAACCATCTAATTGCTTATTGTCAATATAAATGTATATGCTAAGCTCCTGGCCTACAGGATTAAATGCCATTCTCCCAGAACTAGTGTCCCAGGTACAGACTGGTTTTGTACCAACACAACAGAACAGAGACAATACAAGACGATTTAGAAATTTGATAGCTATAGCTAATTTAAAGCAAGCAACCAGCCTTCTCTTAACATTAGACGCCAAGAAGACATTTGACCGTCTCCACCAGGGTTATATGCAATCTGCGCTTCGCAAATATGGTCTTGGAGCTCTTTCACTTTAATAAATTTGCTGTACTTTATTTTAACCACCTACTGTCCGTGTCTCACCGCTTAACATACATTTGAGTACTGAGGAAAATTCAGAATACAGTTATGTAAGGGAATACCGATCACTTCCATAAATTGATGGTCGATTGAGATACTGCCAACCCACTACTATCAAATAGAGCCAATATTACTAAATAATGTCCAGTTGTACATTTGAATTACTCATAACAAAGAAGGGTAATTCTATTATATATTGTTTCACTTTGTGTGTGCTTTTACTTTATTTGGTATTCTTGTATTTAGATGTATTATTGTGAATGTCTAGTGATTGATATACGGGTGATATAACTGCATCACTTTTATATTTAGCGCCGTACCACTATCCGATCCTATTTTTTAAATTACTTTCTAAGTTGGTTTGATTTTTAGTTGGTATATGAAGTAATTTGGAGAATGCATCTAGTTAAAATTATGTTAAGTTACACGCAAGGCCGTTGCAAGGATTTTTGCCGCTCTAGGCAAATAAAAATTTGCCGCCCAATTCGCTCCACAGTGGTCCTGTAGGTTTAATCCCACAAGATAAAACTTTACCTTACCTTGAAGGGTTAAAGCGGCATTGTCATGGCCGAATCCCCGTTTATTTTTAACCCCCCTCCCGACTCCACTACATCTAACTGACCCCCAAGCCACCCCCAAATGTCCCTAAGCCCCTCATATTACCTATTTTTAATTTTATTTTCTGCCCCAATCTAGATTCAGGCCGCCGCCAACTTTGTGTGGGTAAAGGAAGTCCATGTGGGACACGTCATCTGCCCACACTGGACAGACTGTAATATTCCAGCACATGCCCAGTGAAACACTTGGGCATGCGAACAGGAATTTCATCTATTCATTCATTCGTCAGAAAGACAAATGAATGAATAGGAAAATCAGATGAACAAACAAACACCCAATATCAGTGTTCGTTTAGTTTATTACAAGGAGCAGTGCTCCCTGCCACTTCCTAAGCCCAACCCCATGTCCTCCCTCACTCTATTGGGGTCAATATGAGTAGGGGCATGTCTACTAAACAGTGGGGCATGGCTGCTCACTGTAAAACAAACAAACAACTACTATGCGGCCCCCACCCCTGCGCGGCGGGTGGGGGCCCCTAAATAACAATAAGGGGGGGGGACCTATTGTCCTCCCTCCCGGCCCCCACTCCTGTGCGGTGGGTGGGGGCCATAAATTACAATGGGGGGACCTACTGTCCTCCCCTCTCCCCCACCCTTGAGCGGTGGGGGCCATAAAGTGGGGGGGAGGACCTACTGTCCTCCCCCCGACCCCACCCTTGAGCAGTGGGTGAGGGCCATAAATAACAATAAGGGGGGGGGGAACCTATTGTCCTCCCCGCCCCCACCCTTGAGCGGTGGATGGGGGCCATAAAGATAATGAGGGGGGGGGAAGACCTACTGTCCTCCCCCCGGCCCCACCCCTGCGTGATGGGTGGGAGCCATAAATTACAATGGGGAGGACCTACAGTCCTCCCCCCCCGGCCCCCACCCCTAAGCGGTGGAAGGGGGCCATAAAGATAATGAGGGGGGACCTACTGTCCTCCCACCACCTCTGTGCGGTCGGTGGGGGCCATAAATTACAATGGTGGGGGGGACCTATGTCCTCCTCCCCCACGGCCCCCACCCCTGCGCGGTGGGTGGGGGCCATAAACTACAATGGGGGGGGACCTACCTAAGACAAATCCCCCCTCCATCAAAGGTGACTAGGGATCCCCAAGCCCCTAGTCACCCACCCCCCCACCCAAAAAAAGTAACCCCCTACCTTCCCCCCTCACCCTAAAAAAATACTGAGGGGGGAATAAAATAACTAACCTGTAAAGAAAAAATAAACTTCCCATTTGACGTCTTCTTTTTTCTAAAATCTTCATTTTTCAGCCCCAAAAAAGGACAAATAAAAAACCATCATACCCGTCGAACTTAAAATAAAATAAAAAACCTGAGCGCAAAAAGAAAAAACATGACGAAAAAGAAAAAACCCGAGCGCCAAAAAAATAATCCATCTTCACTCATGGAGGGCTCCACGCAGACAGCTCTGCAGGGTGGGGGAAGGCTTATAAAGTCTTGCCCCGCCCTGCATTTAGGCTAAGAACACTCTGATTGGCTTGTTTAAGCCAATCAGAATGCTCTTTTCATTTTACACAGCGTGGGAAATTTCCAAAGAACTTTCTCACGCTGTGTAAAATGACACAGAGCACTCTGATTGGGTGGCTTGAAATCCATCCAATCAGAGTGCTTTGTGTCATTTGGGCTTGGGGACCCCTAGTCACCTTTGATGGGGGGTCAGAGGGATTTGTCTTAGGGCCCCCACCCGCCATCCAGGGGTGGGGGCCGGACAGTAGGTACCCCCCCTCATTATCCTTATGGCCCCCACCCACGCTCAAGGGTGGGGGCCGGGGGGGAGGACAGTAGGTCCCCCCCATTGTAATTTATGGCCCCCACCCACCACGCAGGGGTGGGGAGGACAGTAGGTCCCCCCCATTGTAATTTATGGTCCCCACCCACCGCTCAAGGGTGGGGGCCAGGGGGGGAGGACAGTAGGTCTCCCCACCATTGTAATTTATGGCCCCCACCCACCGCGCCAGGGTGGGGGCCTGGGGGGGGGGGGAGGACAGTAGGTCCCCCCCATTGTAATTTATGGTCCCCACCCACCGCTCAAGGGTGGGGGCCGGGGGGGAGAACAGTAGGTCTCCCCACCATTGTAATTTATGGCACCCACCCACCGTGCAGGGGTGGGGGCCAGGGGGGGAACAGTAGGTGTTTCCCTATTGTAATTTATGACCCCCACCCACCACGCAGGGGTGGGGGCGAGGACAGTAGGTCCCCCCATTGTAATTTATGGCCCCCACCCACTGCTTAGGGGTGGGGTCCAATAGGTTTTTTTTTGTTTGTTTGTTTTTTTACAGTGAGCAGCCACTGTTTAATAGACATGCCCCTATTCGCGGTATAGCGAGTAGGGACAGATCATTTACTAATATTACTATAATAGTACTAGTAAATTTGGCTGAAAGACTAATTCACGTCTTTCAACCTTTTGGAAGATAACTCCCTAATACCATGGGAATTAAGGAGTTATCTACTAAGCGGCTGCAAGATGCAGCTGTGGCACAAATTGAATCGGAGTTTCATTCATTCGAATGAAATTCCGATACGAACAAAGTGCCGAATTGAGTTCTAAAAGAAACAAACATACTGTTCTCATTGTTAGAACGCAATTTGGCAGTTTCGTCTAAAATGACAGGAAGCATCGCGAGATCACAGAGGAAAGGTAAGAATTATGGGAAAATTGCTCTGACCAGCGGAAATGAAGCACACTTTGCTCCTCCGCTGGTCAAGCGGAGGAAACCTCCATAAGGCAAAGAGTCCCTACTTTGTCTTATGATTTTAAAGAAAACTAAAGAAGACAGGAAGAAAAGAAGAACAGATCCCGAGAGAGGGGGAGAAGAGGAAGAGATTGAGGAAAGGTAAGTTCGGCATGACAGTGCCGCTTTAAACAAGACTCTAGTAGCTGTCACACTGAAAGCTACTAGAGACACCTCCGCTACAATGCAATGTAACTATGACAAGCGCTGGAAGTGCATAGCACTTGCCGCTTATTCGCATCAGGTCCCCAATGCTCCTGCCTGAGGAACATTGGATTGAGCCAACATTTCCCCATTAGTGACATTGAGTGAGTTAAGGAGGTAAACAGTGCAGAGGGAGTCTTGGTGATTGATAAATGTAAGTAACCCCCCCACACTTTTTTTTTTTTTTTTAAATCATTTTTATGGTGGGGGTGAATTTGGATCTATGTAGGGACAGAGATACAATAGTATTCAGAATACAGGTATATATACTTAACACTGTAGTGTTCCTTTAAAAGTATTGATTTTAATTTTATTTTTATTAAAATTAGCCTTTTTGCCCAAATACAATCACTGATACATACATATACACACACACACGCATTCACTCACTCACAATTAATGGCCCACACAATCACAATCAGTGACCAATGCACATACAAATTCACGGACTCACGCAGAGTGACCCACACACTGACTCCAGACATACACTAACTCGTGTAGAATGACATACACACACATACTGGCCCAAGCATACACACACACTGATCTAACCATAAACAGACACACTGACTGAAACACACACACACGGATACACAACAGAAGTCCCCCACTTGCCTTTATTTCCTATGGTCTCTCCGTGGGTCCCAGACCAGGACTGGCTGCCTTGATTCTCTTTAAGCTCCGCCCTTTGTTGTACACCCGTCCACTTGACCCCGATTGTATGATGCGCCCGTGCACTGCAGCATATGACGTGTGTAGGGCGGGGTTCGCTGTGATTCTGGCTGGGTGAGGTTGATGGCACAGGGTGCTAGTCTGCAGCCATGTAAGTGTTCCCTAGTAACCGGTGCCATCACCTGTGGCACGCAATACAGAATTTGACCCATATAAAGGGGCTGCCCAAACCAACAGTAAAGCTGCTGCCAGCGCCCCCCCTTACATAACGCCCTAGACGGCCGCCTAATCGGCCTATAGGGGCGCCGACCCTGAGTTACAGGCTCTTGCTAACATATCTGTACAGTTCTACAGAGAAAAATAATGGCAAAATTGTTTCAACAGACAATAAAACAGCAAATACCAGAGAGAAAGCCATAGCAGCAGATAGAAAGGGCATACCCCGACTTTAGACACACGCTGGCAGTAAGACTCACTTAAAAAAGAATTGAGGAGAACTGACAAGGGAACAGAAATTTCTAGGGCAATGGTGTCAATAATATGGCCCGCAGGACAGATAAAGAATGCTAGGCTAATGTATCTGGTTTGTGGGGCTTGTGTGCAGAAGGATTGCATGAAAACAACATCCACACTCTCTCTGATTTGTTTGACTGCTGGAAGGGAGAATGCAGTTGGTAAATCACATTACTCTGAGTTTTACAGTTACACACTGACGTTTACTGTATTCTACTGCAGTGGAGCAGCATGTTTTCAAATCTCTTGCATGGATGGTCTAATGCGGAGTTTGACAACCACAAAGCAGTGGCAGGTCCCAATTTTGGGCTGTGCCTATGCATGTTTTTCCAAGTCTGTCTGAGATTTTAGCAAGAAAACATTTAATGGACAGCAGGTGTCGCCATTTTCATTTAGCCTTCTCTTGACCTGAATTAAGAAAAATTTAATGGGCTAACAGTGATCCCCTATTTTATTGAGCGATAAAAAGCGTTTGGGATGAATAAAAATCAATGTTTTGTTGTTTTGTTTTTTATTTATTTAGAAAGGATTTTTTTATTATTTAAATTAGATTTATTTTACAAAAATGTTTTTGGAGAAGTAATTCATGAAATATGGATAAGTTATGTAGCTTGAGGTCCTATATTTGTGCAATATTTGCATTTTTGGTAACTTAATTCCATTTATCCAAGTTATTTGGATGTGTGCCTGCAAAAACTTTTCTACAGCAAAAATGTTCTAAAATTATTATATCCTCATAGGAAAGCATTGAAAAGCATTTCCTGTGGGGAGTTCTAATGCCTGCCGCGCATGCGCATTAGGTCTCCCCGGTCTGCGGGCGGGATCAGTCTCGCCCACCGGCCGATGTGATGCAGAGGAGGAGCGGCGGCGGAGGAAGAAGCAGTGACGTGGGACATGTCGCTGCCTCTGGTAAGTGACTGAAGGGGTTTTCACCCCTTCAGCAACCGGGGATTGGGAGGTGGGAGGGAGAGGAGACCTGCAGTGCCAGGAAAACGGATTGTTTTCCTGGCACTGGAGTTCCCCTTTAACAACGTTAGGGTGAAATGACCTGTCCTAATGTCTCCCCTCCTCCCCAAATTTTATACATCTCATCATATCTGATCGGGGGGACCGCCTGGCAACACAGGCAGTTCCACAGCAGCCAATCAGTATCAGGTGATCACAGTGACAGCCTGTTACTGTGATCATTGATACAAATCGTGGGATGTGACATTGTATTCTGCCTCTCTTTTCCCTCACTTTGATCTAAGGCGATAGTGGCAGAAAGTTTATTGCTGGCAGCGTTCCAAGTGTTAGTGTGCGTTTAAAAATAAAAATTGTTGAGACCAGAGTGATCAACACACTAGTGCAGGCTTCCCCGAACTCCGGCCCTCCAGATGTTGCTGAACTACAACTCCCATGAGCTCTCAGCCAATCTATTTCATTCATAGAATCATGGAAGTTGTAGTTCAGCAACATCTGGAGCGCCAGAGTTTGGATAAGCCTGCACTAGTGTGTACGTTGACCTTTTAACCCTTTATAGTTTTTGTTAACCTCTTCCTGCACTCAGATCACTGCATAGTGTGGCAGATTATTTTATTTTACCTTCCCTAACCTATATTTTACCCCACTTTAGGTTAAAAAAAATTAAAAAAAATTTTAATCACCCTTTAGTACTAATCGCAGCATTTTATTATGCAAGAAGTTGTTCATTTTTCTTTTTGGGTGTAGGGTTCTGTGGGTGGAAGTGGGTTTAGGGAGTGTGAATTGAGAAAGTATGTGTTAGGCAGGCAGGGAAAAAAATATTTTATCCCTTAAAAAGTCACCATGGCTCGTTACTACACTTAGGCCTACGCGTGATTTAGAAGAGAGAGACTCATTTGACATGTCTGATAGAAAGACACTTATTGCGTCAGATGAAGACCCTAAGCGAGCTTTCTGGTGATCGGACTCCAACCATAACATCATCCAGGAGGAGCTCAGAAAGCCGCACTGTATCTGAGGGTAGCAACAAATCTAAGTGCCCTTGAAATAACCCAATTTTTGGCAATCCCTTGCATCACGACCAGAGTTGGTAGTTGTGATCCAGAAAATTAAAGCAGCAATGTCACTGTGAACTTACCTTTCTCCCATTATTAACTCTTCTCTTTCAGAATCTGTTCTTCTTTTCTTTATTTCTGATCTAGTTTTCTTTAAATCATAAGACAAATTAGTAACTACTTGTCTTATGTATTTTCCCTATGCTTTACTTTCTTTGACCAAAGGAGGAGCTTAAGTCCTTCTTTGAAAAGTCAGTTTTTACATTGAAACTGTGCACAAGATATAGACTTCAGAACAACTAAGCTGTAGTGGTTCTGGTGACTATAGTGACCCTTTAAAAATTTTATTTTTGACGTTGAAAAACCTGGCTCCTAACTCTTTTAGCTGGCTCCTTTATTCCATATTCCAAACCAAGTTTGTCAAGCCCTGCTTGAAAGGTTAATTACGTCACTGAGTATTTTATTTTTATAACCTTCTATTCAGGAAGCCACCGTATGTGCTGTAGTGGAAATAGATTACATTTTACAAATAAAATGTGAATTTTACATCTATAATATCTTTACACTGAAATCTTATAGGTTTAACAATTTGACAGTTTTCCCCTCAATATTTCATGACCAGGATTTTAGGCAGTCCTCAAATTAACATTGGCAAAATAAGTCTTATATGCACAAAAATGGTAGATTTAAATGGTATATACAGTTTTGTCATTGCTGTGGCAATAAAGAACTGTTTGCAGACACATGAGGAAGATTATGTTTTTGTTGGTATGCGTTGCTCAAAATGACATGTTGTCACATGTAGCCCATACATTTAATTTGTATTCCAGCCAACAACGCTACAAACAGCCCGCTTTCCCAATGACTGGGCTGCCCATGTCAATCTATGACACGATGTTTCGGTGTTAGTGAATGATGACAACACTCACAACGAAACCCACACGCAGCCAACAGCGTTTGACGTGCAGTGGGCGCTGGGCTGCACGTGCTGCTCTTCTATTGGACGGCAGCCGCTGGAACACCGCCCGCTTACAGGAGAAACGGCTTACGTCACGTCAAACGGCGCCAACACACACAAACGATGCAGCTGGAACGCGCGCACACAGTGTAGACACTTGTCTCCAGCCAATCAGAGCGCGCGCGTGTCTGTGTGTTTTCGCAAGCCCGTTCCAACCGTTTTTCCAACAGCAGTTTGGAAGCCGTTGAACGTTCCGCGTGGCTGCACTTACCGTTTGTGGCCGCCTTGCGGCGCGCTGCAGGCTGCACGCTCGCACGGACCGTCTGCTTTTTCACGGCGCTCATTTCGCGAGTGACCCACGGGAACCGCTCGGCTGCAGCTGCTTATGGTTTCCGCTCAGTACGGAGCAAGCGCGTTATTGAGAAAGGCGTGTCAGCCAGCGTTGGCTGTAGATGGCCGGTGGGGGCGCTCTGGGAAGCCGGGGAGTAACGGGTGTGAGCTAGACCTGTCTGCGTCACAGCAACGGGGCTGCATCCTCACACAGCCCGGGGTCACCACCAGTATCAATAGATGGAGGGCTGCCACAGCCGCCATTTTGTTAACATAGATAACGTTTTTAGACTGGTGGGTTTCACATACTAAGTGCTGCAACACAAGTAACAATTTGCAGCAGGGAAGTCAGTCATGGCATTGACTTTGGGAGCTCTGTTGGTAACTTAAAGGGATACTGTAGGCACCCAGACAGCTTCATCTAATTGAAATGGTCTCTGTGCCAACTCCCATCACCCTTGACCCTGCAAAAGTCATTAGTGCAAGTTTTTGTAAACTATAATAATTACCTTGCAGGGTTAAGTCCTTCTCTAGTGGCTGTCTACCAGACAGCCACTAGAGGAATTTCTGGCTTCTTAGATGACTTTTTGTCAAATAAACAACGCTGGATAATGCTTTTTTATTGGGTGGTCTAATGCCAGCATGTGTATTAGGTCTCCCCGGGGAGGGGGGAGCATTGGCAGAGCCTGACCCAGCGCTGAGGGACATTGGCATTGGATTCGGGTAAGTGTAACTCCCTTCAGCGGTGGAGGGGGGGGCACTTAACCTGGCACTAGAGAATCCCCTTAATTAAATTTCCCTACAGCTGCATGGCAGCACTTGTCATGTAGTACCCAACAGCTAGAATGTATGATATATGCCAAGGAAAACATGGTGGATCTGAGAAAGCTAGCTATAAACTAGGAGAGGTTGTTTATTCATTGAACTTAGAATTATTGCAATTTAACAAACTAATGGAAAAAAACTTGTGAGCTGAAAAAATAAATCAAAAAGTGGCCTGAAGTACTTTATGTATCTGGAGCCTTTCATATTTGTGCGATATAATTTGGCATTTTATAACTGGGGGCAAAAAGGCTGTTGCTATTCTACAGCTCACTGAGAAGGTAATATATGATTGATCAATGAGAAGTCTGGTGAATTCTGCACATAATGAATGCAAGAAAGGGGAGCTTACAAAGGCTGCGGCAGCAGGTCTGCAGCATTTGCAAACTGTTTTATATATGTACATACATACATCCTTGAAAACACAGAAAAAATACATGTTTTCTTTGGGATATATCTAAAATTGCTTTTAAAAATATAAATGGATGGAGTGTTCCTTCAAAGTTTACAATTCAGAATTTATTGACTATCCCTTATCATTTTATAATGAAATACTTATAAAGAAGCTAAATGAATGCATCAAACATGTGCTAGGCATCTCTTTTCCTAGATTTTGTAAATAATGGGAAGAAAGCAATGGTAGATTAAAATGAACATGGAATATAATGTCCAGTGGTCAGGCCTAAGAAAATTATAGGTTCCTGGTTAATTGATTTCATTTAGTTAAATATATTTGTCATTGGTAAGAACAACATTTCCTATTATCCTCCCCTCCTACTTGAGTCCCAGTATCCAATCTACACTTATGTATAGAATATCACATAGTAACCAGATATCAGCTCAGTATATTCTGCATACTTGACCAAAGATGAGTCCGCGCATTTAGTGGTGCAAGTAATATAAAAAGAATACCCACGGACAATTTTAATTAATTATAATTTGAGGGACCAGCCTGACAACCCATGCAGCAAGTCAAGAGAATTTAATTTGCAAGTCATATGTTTATCCCTGTAACTTTCCAAAACACCATAAAATCTGGGCATGGGGGTATTATTGTACTTGGGAGACTTCGCTGATCACAAATATGTGTGTTAAAACAGTAAAACTTATCACAACGATAATGTCACCAGTAAAAGTGCAGTTTTGTCTAAAAACTGCAAAAAACAAATATGAACGCTAAGTTTGGCTAGTGTTTGTGACTAAGTGGCTACTAAAACACAAAAGACATACCCCATTTTGAATACCTTGGGTTGGCTACTTTTTCAAATGGTATACCATGGTGGGGTTAATTCACATTCCTGGGCTACCATACCGTCTCAAAGGCATCATAGCCAATCTGGCAAATTTCAATTTACAAAAACAGAAATTGGTAAATCCTATATTTGACCCTGAACTTTCCAAAACACCATAAAACCTGTTCAAGATGGGTACTGTTGTACTCGTGAGACATTACTCTACATAAATATGAGTGTTTTAGAGCAGTGAAATGTATAATACCGATGATACCATCAGTGAAAGGGCAGTTTACTTGTGAAACATACAAAACATATATAAACACTAACTTTGGGCAGGGTTTGTGACTAAGTGACTACTAAAAAAGACTGGACATACCCCATTTTGAATGCCCTGGGTTGTCTTTTAGAAATGGTATGCCAAGATGGGGTTAATTTCCATTCCTGGGCTACCGTACAGTCTCAAAGGCAATGTAGGCCCAGCAAACCAATCTGACAAATTTCAATGAAAAAGGGGAGGCCCTATATTTGACGCCTGTAAGTTTCCAAAAACTCATAAAACCTGTACATGGGGGGTACTGTGGTACTCATGAGACATTGCTAAATACAAAATATTTTTCAAATTCAGTTATGTTTCATATATAAATATTTGATATAATAATTTTGAAATGAAAGCCATGTTTCTCCTGAACAACATGATATATAATAAGAGGTGAATTATGGTTGAACAACATATAGCGCAAATTCCAGGTTTTGTTTATGTTTTGTTTTGATCACAACTTGTACAATTGTCTTCGTCCTTAACCCCTTAAGGACTGAGCCAAATGTACACGTTTTGATCAAAATAAAACCAATCTGGCGAATTTCAATGTGAAAAAACTGAAACACAAGCCTTATATTTGACGCTGTAACGTTTGAAAACACCATAAAACCTGTACATGAGGGTTACTGTTGTACTCGGGAGATTTCGCTGAACACAAATATTTGTGTTTCAAAACAGTAAAAAGTATCGCAGCAATAATATTGTCTGTGTAAGTGCTGTTTGTGTGTGAAAAATGCAAAAAAACACCACTTTTACTGGCGATATCATCGTTGTAATACATTTTACTGTTTTGAAACACTAATATTTGTGTTCAGCGAAGTCTCCCGAGTAGAACAGTACCCCCCATGTACAGGTTTTATGGTGTCTTGGAAAGTTATAGGGTTAAATATAGTGCTAGCAAATTAAATTCCCTTTACTTTCGGCATGGGTTGTCAGGCAGGTCCCGCTAATTGTAATTAATTAAGATACCTAATTATGTAAAATTATTACATAAATATATATGTAGAATTAATATATGTATACATATATACGTATGTGAATATATATGTATATATATATAATATAATTTTTTTTAAAATATTTTTATTTATATATAGGTATATATATATATATATAGTGATATATACGTATATATGTATATAGATATATATATATATTATCTCATTCTACGTGTATTTTGATATAAATATATATATTAATATCACAATACAGTTAGAACGAAATAACACACATCTATATATTTTTTAATTATTTTTTTTTAATTATTTTTAAATTTTATTTTTCTACGTATTTACATATTTAATTTTTTTATATTCTAAATAAATATATATATAACAATAATTATATATATAATCAATATCAGTCTACGTGTAATTTGATATTAATATATATATATATAATTATATATATATATTAATAGTAAAATACACCTAGACAGTGTATGTGTGTGTATGTATATGTGTATATATATATATATATACTTAGATCATATATATATATATGATCTAAGTGTATATATTTTTTTTTACTTTTATTAATTTTATTTAATTTTATTTCTAGCCAGCAGGGGGACCACCTGTCATTACAGGCAGCCCCCCTGCTGGCAATGCAGGAGGCAGCTATCCCGGCCATGTGATTGTGAGGTCCTCGCAAGGACCTAACTCTCACATGGCCGGGGGGCACCGGAGGAGGAGGATCTGCCGCGGGGGGGCTCCCTGGGAGTCCCCCCAACTGCGACCGCCGGCGACCGGGTAAGTAAGGAAAGACCGGAGGGCGTACTATTACGCCCGGCGGCGTTTAGAGCCGCCTAAAATAGGGCGTAATAGTACGCCCTCCGGTCTTAAGGGGTTAATCTCAGTTAAAGTGCAGAAAATGATTTTGTTTCTCAAATATTTCTCACATTACCTAGATAATTTGCACATTACCTACTAGGCACTAGTTAATGTGCAAAAATATAATTCTGTCCTCCATCTCTCTGAAGAGCTCACAGCTCTGGAGGACACCATGGTGTGTACAGGCTGCTGTTCTGTTCTTGTCTGGAACACATAGTCACATACCTCTTCAAACAGTTATCCCGAACTGGTAAGAAATAAGGAGCCCCCACCACCACAAGAGAGCAGGCGCTTCCTGCACATTATGGAGCAACACCCTGAAATGACCCCAGCAGATGCTCTCCACTGTTCTCAATATCATCATATATTTGAAGACTGTCAGAATCAGTGGTCCATGAGCAGACCTCTCCTTGGTCTCATTCTCCACAATGAGAGAAGTGTTTCTCGGACTTACGGAGCAACATTGTTAGTAGCCAGTTCCCTCTGAGAAGCAACAAGCCATGCGTCTATGCTTTGAGAATTTGATGGTGGAGGGCATTGAAAGGAACTTGCTTACAAAAAGAATCGATACAGGTTCACACAGAATCTTTCTGCCTTCAGACGAGAAGTGAACAACTCTGCAGAGACTGCACTGAAAGGGTGAAACAGGTTCTGCAAGGACGTTTTTTGTAATAAATAATTTCCTCTTTACCGAGGGAAAGAAACAAACTTTTGCACTGAAAGGGTGAAACAGGTTCTGCAAGGACGTTTTTTGTAATAAATAATTCCTCTTTTACAGAGGGAAAGAAACAAACATTTTGCACTTTAACTATACGGAAGCAGTTAATGTGCACATTACCTAGGTAAAGTGCGGAAAACTCTTGATTCCGCACTTTAACAGAGCAAATCAGTTAATCTGCAGATTAACTAGGTGATGTGCACATTAACTGAATTCTCACTTTAACTATGACATATATATATTAATATTAAAATACACTTAGACAGTGTTTGTATGTGTCCACCAAACTCCAAACACTCCTTTTACCCATCTCAAATGCCCTAACTCTGCAACCTCACTCTACAACTCCACCCTCTCCTCTCAACTTGACATCATGGCACCTCCTACAGTTAAACGCAGCAAGCGCCCCCAACTACAACCCTGGCACACCAAGCTGACCTGTTACCTCCAAAAATGTTCCTGAACGCTGCTGGAGAAAGTCTCACTTTGCATCTGACTTTGTCCACTATAAATTTATGCTGCGCTCCTACAGCATGGCTCTTTCCTCTGCAAAAGTAAACTACTTCAACACCCTCATAAGCACACTGTCCCATCAACCCAAACACCTGTTTCACACTTTTGATGCTCTTCTTCACCCTGTGACTCCCGCTCCTTCCACCACCTTGTCCGCCACAAACTTTGCATCTCATTTCACTGAGAAGATCTCTACAATCAGGAAAGAGATCTCTAATCTCTCTCCTACCCCTATCAATACATCACCCAACCCCACTCCCCCTGCCATCCTATGCTCATTTGCACCTGCTACAGCACAAGTGGTTTCTGCTCTGCTCCTGTCCTCCCGCCCCACCACTTGCTCCCTCAATCCTATTCCATCGCATCTCATCTGCACTTTGTCTCCCTCTCTTGCTCTTCCTCTTGCTAACATTTTCAATCTCTCCCTTTCCTGTGGCACATTTCCCTCACCCTTCAAACATGCAACCGTAATCCCAATTCTGAAAAAGCCCAACCTTGATCCCAACTCCCCATCCAACTACCGTACTATCTCGCTACTGCCACTTGCCTCCAAGATCCTCGGGAGAGTTGTGTACGCCAGATTGACAGACTTTCTCGAATCCAACTCTCTGCTTGACCCCCTTCAGTCTGGATTCCGCGCTGGTCACCCAGTCGAAACTGCTGTGACCAAAGTATCCAACGATTTAATTGCTGCTAAATCTCGCGGCCAATACTCTATCCTAACCCTCCTTGATCTTTCTGCCGCCTTTGACACTGTTGATCATCAACAGCTTCTTCACATTCTCCGTAACTTTGGTCTACGGGATACTGCTCTCTCCTGGTGCTCCTCCTACCTCTCCCAGCGCTCTTTCAGTGTTCTTTCTCTGGCTCTGCCTCTTCTCCCCAACCCCTCTCTGTCGGCGTCCCCCAAGGTTCTGTCCTGGGCCCCCTACTGTTCTCTATCTATACTGCCTCCCTTGGTAAACTCATCAGCTCCTTTGGCTTCCAATATCATTTATATGCAGATGACACGCAAATCTACCTGTCCTCCCCTGGTCTCTCTCCGCCCACCTTGACCTGCCTCTCTACTATTTCCAACTGGATGGCTGCTCACTTCCTTAAACTCAACCTGTCCAAAACAGAACTTCTAGTTTTTCCTCCCTCAAGTGCTGCTAGTCCTGTGCCTGTCTCCATCCAAGTCAACGGCGCTACTAATACCTCTACCTTGCAGGCTCGCTGCCTAGGGGTTCTTTTTGATTCTGAACTCTCTTTTACTCCCCATGTCCAATCGATAGCCAAATCCTGTCGCTTCCAACTCAAGAACATAGCGCGCATCTGCCTATATCTAACACCGGACGCGGCTAAGGTACTGGTTCATGCTTTTGTTCTCTCTCACCTTGACTACTGCAATCCCCTTCTCACCGGTCTTACATGTTCCCAGCCTGCACCGCTGCAATCTATAATGAATGCGGCTGCGAGGCTTATTTTCCTGTCCGGTCGTACCTCCCATGCCTCCACGCTCTGTCAGTCCCTGCATTGGCTTCCAGTTAGATATAGGGCCCAATTCAAAATTCTGGCGCTTGCTTACAAATCCCTACATAATGCTGCTCCAACATACCTATCTTCCCTCATACACAAGTATGTCCCGTCGAGACCCCTGCGCTCAGCCCAAGACCTACGCCTATCCTCTGCCCGGATTCCCACCTCTGATGCTCGCCTTCAAGACTTCTCCTGGGCTGCACCTATTCTGTGGAACTCCCTTCCATCCTCAATCAGACTTGCACCCAGCCTCCACTCCTTTAAAAAATCTTTGAAAACTCACTTCTTCATTAAAGCGTATCAATTAAACGGTCAGCAGGTTTCTCATCCCCCAACCCATGACTCCTTTCCTGCAACTGTCAAAAATGACCTACCAAGCACTCAATAAACCCTTTTCTAACAAACTATGTAATTGCCCTACTTTAACCCTTTGTGTCACTATACCCCACTCCCTCTAGCATGTAAGCTCATCAAGCAGGGCCCTCAACCCCCACTGTTCCTGTACGTCCAGTGGTCTGATCTCAATTATGTGTCTGTTAGTCCACCCATTGTACAGTGCTACAGAATTTGTTGGCGCTATATAAATAATAGAATAATAATAATAATATATATATATATATACTTAGGTCATATACATAATAGATACTTAGATCATATATATATATATATATAGTCCCCCTGCTGGCACTGATATCGACGGTGTGGCACTCTGCCAAGATATCATCGCCACGGATACCCTTTTCCCATAAAAAAAAGCAACTCCCACAGGCAAAATATCACTGGTGTAGAATAACCCCCCACACATGAGCCAAGGCTATATCCTGGGTAAAGACTGTCTTTAATGGAAGTGCATGCATCATATTTATACAGTCCATAAACTCCTCCTCTGTGCCTGAGAGACAATTGAGTCAGTAAATATACTAAACTCAATTATCTCCAGATACAGAAAAATTAACAATTTTGCAACACCCCAAAATACAGGGAAACCCCACAAAAGTCACATCCCTGGATCTGGGCGAACAATATATCCAAAAATCACCCAGATCCGTTTGGTAGTTTTAGATTGCCATTGCAGGGAAGTTCTGACCCGTCTGTCACGAGGAGTAAGCCTAAAATAGTTACATGGAAATGGTGGCAAGAGCCAGTCTCCGTTCGTGGGGTTTTGTACGAAAACCACATAAGATATAGGAAAACTGGTTCGTGCAGAATGCTCCGCATGTTCGGTAGTCTGTAACTCCCGAACGCTGTTAGTCTACTGGAACGGGCTATAGGTCAATGGTTACCGGTGTTCGCCTGGCCGAAATTAGTTCCACGCACTCAATGACCAAGTTCAGCTGCTAGCGTTCGGGAGAGACGATGGCCACCATCCATTCTTTCACCCACGTGCGTTCGTATGTACAAAATGGTGGCCACGTAACAGAGCATTCTATTAACCCCTTAAAGACGTCAGGCATTCTATGCCGTCCTTCGGGATCTGGCTCTAAACGCCAGCGGCCGGAATAGAACGCCCAAGCCATCCTTTCTGCTTACCTGGTCACCGGCAATCGTGGTATGGGAACTTACCTGGGAGCCCAGGGAGTCCCCCTCCTTCCTCTTTGGCCCCCCTAGGTCATGTGATCGCGAGGACCTCACGATCACATGGACGGCAAAGCTGTCCATGTCAATGCCAGCAGGGGGAGTGCCTGGAATGACAGGTACTCCCCCTGCTGCCTGAAAAATTTAAAAAAAATGTTAGTTACAGTTGAAAATAAAATATATACTTAGATCATATATATATTTATTATATATATATCTACATATATAATTATAAATATATTAATATCAAAATCGACGTACAATGATATTGATTAAATGTATATATAATTTTCATTATATATATATTTATATATAATATAAAATAAATACATATGTAAATACGTTAAATAAAAAATAAATAAATAATATATATATGTGTAAATTCGTTCTAACTGTATTTTAAAATTAATACATATATATATGTATATATATTGATATCAAAATACACGTCGAACGAAATATATATATCTATATACATAAGTATATACGTATATATCACTATATATATATATATATACCTATATATAAATAAATAATTTAAAAAATGATATACATATATATACACACACATATATATATATATATATATATATATATATATATATAATTCTACGTATATATTTATATAATAATTTTACATAATTAGGTCATTTTATTAAAGCGGCACTGTCATGGCTGAATCACGTTTTTTTTTAACCCCCCCCTCCCAACTCCACTACATCTAACCGACCCCTTAGCATGGGCGTAGCAACCGAGGGGGACGGGGGGACTCATCCCCCCCAGCAAATCATGCGGGGGGGACCAGTTATAGAGAAATCCCCCCCAACCCCGCCGGCCGCGGGTGCCCTCGGGCTGCATGCGGCTCCATCAGGGAACCGCACGCACTGCAGACTGGGAAGGGGAGCACCTCTCCCTTCGCGCAGGAGCATCGGGTGTCACGTGACTACCCAGCGCTCAGTCTGACACTGCGCCCGCCAGACGTCCAGAGGTCCCCCTGCTATGTCAGGTAAAAGAGGGGACAAAGGTAGAAAAATAATTGGAAGGGTTAAGGGGGGGGGCTACTAATATGGATGGGGGGGAGGGGTAGGTAGAAAAATAATTGGAAGGGTTTAGGGGGCTACTAATATGGATGGGGAGGAGTAGGTAGAAAAATAATTGGAATGGTTTAGGGGGGCTACTAATATGGATAGGGGAGGGGTAGGTAGAAAAATAATTGGAAGGGGGAGAGGGGTAGGTAGAAAAATAATTGGAAAGGGTCAGGGGGGCTACTAATAAGGATAGGGGGAGAGGGGTAGGTAGAAAAATAATTGGAAGGGTTTAGGGGGGCTATTAATATGGATGGGAGGAGGGGGGAGGTAGAAAAATAATTGGAAGGGGTTAGGGGAGTACTAATATGAATGGAAGAGGTAGGGTGGGTTCTGATATGCATGGAAGGAGTTAGGGGGGTACTAATATGCATGGAAGGGGTAGGTGGGGTTCTTATGTGCATGGAAGGGGTAGGGGTGGTTCTAATATTCATGGGAGGGATAGGGGTGGTTCTAATATTCATGGAAGGGGTAGGTGGGGTTCTAATATAAATGGAAGGGGTAGAGACGGGTAGTAAAATGTATGGAATGCACTTCTGAAAGTGTCACTGAATGACAGTTAGGAAATGTGGTCACCCTAAGTCAGGGGCAGTATTACACAATCTGTATATGTATAAAAAAATATAAAAAGTAATCTGCAAAGTACAAAATGTTTGTGTCATATGTGGTGCTAAAAATTAAGCTAGGAATGAGCATATTTTTTTAAAATAATTTTTAGAATAATGATACAGACATTTTATTTCTTACATTTGTGACGATTCTTTTTTCCCCTCTATATTCAAGGGACACTATAGTCACCAGAACCACAACAGCTAAACGTAGTAGATCTGGTGTCTATAGCATGTCTTTTTAATGTAAGCACTGCCATTTCGTAAAAAAAAAAGGCAGTATTTACATTACTGCTGAGGAATATCTCCAGTGGACACTCAGATGGCCACTAGAGGTGCTTCCTAGTCGAGACATGAATGCCGCCCTATGAAGTATCTGCGCATGTACGGCAAAACTGCGCATGCGCACCAGGGAGCAATGACGCTTCTGAATAGAAGCTTTTTATTGCTCCCTGCTCGCACCCTCCTATTTCGTCATTTTGACGAAATAGGGGGCGCGGCATCAGGAGGATCCCGGCACTGTATCCAGGTAAGTAAAACCCCTTCCCTGTAGTGACCCTTTCATGTTATTATTTTATCATTTATATAGCGCCAGCAAATTCCGTACAATGGGATAAACAACTCCTAGTTTACGGAATAAGAATATACCCGGCGAGTAAAAATGCTATCCCCCCCAGATTTTTGGGGGTTCCTATGCCCATGCCCCTAAGTCACCCCTAAATGCCCCAAGCCCCCCATATTACCTATTTTTAATCTTTATTTTCTGCCCCGATCTATATTCAAGGTGCCGACATTTTTGTGTGGGTAGATGAAATCCCTGTGGGACACGTCATTTGCCCACACTAGACAGACTGTGAGATTCCCGCACATGCCCAGAAACACTTGGACAGGAATTTCATCCATTCATTCGTCAGAAAGATGAATGAATGACTAGGAATTTGAGACGAACAAACTAACACTGAATATCAGTGTTTGTTCGTTCATTTAGTTTATTACAAGGAGGGAGCTACCGGCACGCAGCTCCCTCCTTGTAATATGTAAAGATAGAAGCGGCAGGAAGCATTGCTCCCCGCCACTTCCAAAGCTCCCCCATGTCCTCCCTCACTCTATGGAAGTCAATATGACTCCCATAATAGCATAAGGGAGATTAAAATCTCACCGATGCCCCATCTCACTATACTGTGAGTAGGGGCATATCTACTAAACAGTGAGCTGCTCACTGTTAAAAAAACAAACACCCTAATAGGCCCCCCTGCGTGGTGGGTGGGAGCCCTAAATAAGAATGTGGGGGGGGGGCTACTGTCCTCCCCTCTCAGCCCCCACCCCTGCGAGGTGGGTGGGGGCCATAAATCATAATGGGGTGGGAGGGACCTTCTGTCCTCCCCCACCCCTGCACGGTGAGTGGGGGCCATAAAGAACAATGAGTGGGGACCTACTGTCCTTTATGGCCACCACCCACCGTGAGCGGTGGTTGGGGGCCGTAAAGGATAATGGAGGGGTGACCTACTGTCCTCCCCCCCAGCCACCATCCCTGCGCGGTGGGTGGGGGCCATAAATCACATTGGGGTGGGGGAGACCTACTGTCCTCCCCTCCCGGCCCCACCCCTGCACGGTGGGTGGGGGCCAGAAATCACAATGGGGTGGGGGAGACCTACTGGCCCCCATGCCTGCACGGTGGGTGGGGGCCAGAAATCACAATGGGGGGGAACCTACTGCCCTACTGTCCTGAACGGTGGGTGGGGGCCATAGAGGATAATGGGGAGAGACCTACTGTCCTCCCCACCGGTTCCCACCCCGGAGCGGCGGGTGGGGGCCCTAAATGACAAATTCCCCATCCCCCCTTCAAAGGTGACTAGGGGTCCCCAAGCCCCTAGTCACCCACTCCCCCACACAAATAAAAACTACCCCCTACCTACCTCCCTCACCCTATAAATAGTGAGGGGGGAATAAAATAACTAACCTGTAAAGAAAAATAACACTTACCATTTGATGTCTTCTTTCTTCTAAAATCTTCAAAAAAAACCCATAATACCCGTCGAACTTAAAATAAATTAAAAAAAAAACGACGGGAAACAAAAAACCAGACACTAAAAAAATTAATCCATCTTCACCCATAGAGGGCTCTGCGCAGACTGAGCTCTACAGGGCGGGGGAAGGCTTATAAAGCCTTGCCCTGCCTTGCAATTAGGCTAAGAACACTCTGATTGGTTGGTTTAAGCCAATCAGAGTGCTCTGTGTCATTTTACACAGCGTGGGAAAGTTCTTTGGAATTTTCCCATGCTGTGTAATTTGAGTCATAACATTCTGATTGGTGGACTTGAAATCCATCCAATCAGAGTGCTCTGTGTCATTTTACACAGTGTGGGAAAGTGAGAGCATTTGTTGCCACTTACCCTGTTCTTAAATAAAAAATAATGGTTGGTGTGACGGAATACCCCATCACTTGTGATTATTTACGCGTTCATTTCTCTTTAACCCCTGTTCGTTTCTCGAGCAGAGATTTACATCCCCCTTTTATATTCCTGAGACCCAGACCACCCACTGGCTTATTAACCTCAAAGAATGTGTTTAACTCGAGTGCTCTCCCTGTGAGGTCGCCATTTGTATAACTGAACATGTGCTCTTTGGAATGGCAGCCATCTTGTCTGCTGAACGCAGGCACCGGTACTTTGTCGTTGACGGCATAGAGCTAAATTCGGACTCTGAACCATCACAAATCCCAGTGAACTTATACTGCCGCCTGCTCCTCCTACAGACAAGCCAGGAGAGTGCTCTTTGGGGAAAAGACTCAGTGAACTACAAGGAACATTCGCTCCCCAAGAGCCAGGGGGAACATTTGGTTGTTTTCATGAAGGAACCCCCAGAAGTTGACTTTACCCTGGTGGCGATTTAGCTACACCGAACTGATCTGAGCGCTATTTGGACAACTTGGGCGCTCAGATCCGACCTATCCGGGGATGTAGGACATTTAGGATTCCTAGGTAGAATTAATGGGGTTTTGGGGTGTTTTGTGTAAAATTTTATGTATCCCTATAACTGGAAGATTTTGAATTACCAGACTTTTGACTCAATTATCTCCCAGACACAGGGATGTCTGGGAGGAGTTTATGCTGTTTTGTATGGAGACTCCATGCTGGGGGTCTGTGTATAAATTCTAAGTGCTTTGACCGAATAAATCAGATCTACTCCCAACATTAGGTCTCGGCTAATATATGGGGGGAAAGCTATACCAGCTATAATCACTATTGCGGTTGGATAGAGCTATTTCACATTGGGAAAGGGAACCCATGGCGGCAATACTCTGGTTGTCCGCCACAGCTGATTTTGGTCCTTAGTACTTATGGATCACAAGCCCTGCTTTATGTGGTGGACTGCCCTAGTATCACCGCCATGGATGCCCTTTTCCCAATAAAATAAACACCAATAATCCATGGAGTGTAATGTCTCCGGTGTCGCATAACCCCCCACACATGAGGCAAGGCTTGATGCTGGGAGAAGACTGGTTTATTCAGGGAATCACATGGCCTTTTATGCAAAAGCCCCAATATGGGCTTTCTTACACAGAAATGCAGGGAAATCCCTCCCAGGAACCTCTGTGCCTAAGAGATAATTATCTCTCAGGGACAGAAAATCATAACAGTTTTTAACTGCTCCAAACGTACCCCTAAAAACATGGAAACCCCACAAAAGTCACATTCACGGATAGCTGAGATATGGGCGAACACTATATCCAAAAATCACCCAGATCTGTTCAGTAGTTTTGGATAAGTTAGATGAAAGCGGATCAGTGTAGAATGCTCCCCGTGTTCAGTAGTTGATACCGCCGAACGCCATTCGTGTAGGTGTAGTGGAACTGGAATGGGCAGCAGGTGTTCGTGGGAGTGCCTGGCCAAAATTAGTTCCAGGCACTCGACGACCAAGTACTGCTGCTTGCGTTCAGGAGACAAGATGGAGCATTCTATTAATTAGTTCCATTGCGGTTTTCGTACAAGATACTCAACGTTCCATGTTCTAATGGGTCTCTGGGGTGGTCTTTGTTCGGGAACCAAACCAAATAAACAAATAAAGTTAAACATGAATCCGTTACCGCGAAAGGAGACAAAAGTGATGGGGTTATTCCTTCACACTTTAGTTTAAAAAGCTATGTTTAACCCCTTAAGGACACATGACATGTGTGACATGTCATGATTCCCTTTTATTCCAGAAGTTTGGTCCTTAAGGGGTTAAACCAGTTCTCTAGTGTTAAAGATGATTGCAGAAATGAAATGCTGTGCCCAAGATGGACGCTAACTGATGTCTGACTAGTGATATGTAGGTGATATACAACACTATATATATATATATATATATATATATATAGTTAATGAAGCAGCTTTCAGCAGGTTCTGATTTTGTCGGTATTCCTAGTCAAGAAGACAGAGAAGTATGTAAGCTAGTGTCCTCATTTGTCCTAGTCTATTTGCATGTATATGTGTTCCCCAGACATGTGGATGACAAGGGACACTCAAAAAGGAAGTCTCACTTCTCTAGAATTTACACTAGGGGTAGGCAACATTTTAGCAGCACTGTGCCGATATAGGATTGTGATGTCCTGTAGCGTGCCGATCCTCAGGCCTGTCACCACCAGGCAAGCTAACCAAGCAATTGCTTGGGGCCCCGAGCTGGCCTGGGCCCCCAAGCAGGGCCGGCGCTTCCTATAAGGCTGCAGCCGCCTGGGCCCCCAAGCAGGGCCGGCGCTTCCTATAAGGCTGCAGCCGCCTGAGCCCTCTATAGAGAGCCTCAGGCGGCTGCAGCACTGCCTCTCTCATCACCTCCCCTTCCCTGTAGCGAGCTCTTCTTCCTCCTGTCAGTCCAGGAGATTCAGTTTGAGCTCGGCCACGCTACAAGGAAGGGGAGGTGAGAAGAACATAGGGAGGGGGGAGTAAAAGAACATAGGTGGGGGAGCAAGAAGGATACTGGGGGAGGGGAGTAATAAGGACACGGGGAGGGGAGTAAAAAGGACACGGGGAGGGGAGTAAGAAGGACACAGGGGGAGGGGATTAAGAAGGACACAGAGAGGGTGGGAGGGGAGTAAGAAGAACATGGGGAGGGGGAGAGTAGTAAGAAGAACATGGGGGGAGTAGTAAGAAGAACATAGGGAGGGGGAGGAGTAAGAAGAACATGGGGGCAGTAAGAAGAACATAGGAGAGGGGAGGAGTAAGAAGAACACAGGGAGGGGGGAGGATTAAGAAGAACACAGGGAGAGGGGGGCTGAGGAGATGAGGAGAACACAGGGAGGGGGGAGGTGAGGAGAAGGGGAGATTAGGAGAATACAAGGAGGGGGGAGGTGAGGAGAATGGGAGATTAGGAGAACACAGGGAGGGGGAGGTGAGGAAAAGGGGATATTAGGAAAAAACAGGGAGGGGTGAGGTGAGGAGAAGGGGAGATTAAGAGAACACAGAGGGGGTGAGGAGAAGAGGAGATTAGGAGAACACGGGGGGGTGAGGAGAAAGGGAAATGAGGAGAACACAGGGAGGGGGGTGAGGTGAAGGGGAGATGAGGAGAACACAGGGAGGGGGGTGAGGTGAAGGGGAGATGAGGAAAACACAGGGAATTTTCAATTGTTGAAAATGTTCAAATTTTATGCACATTATATGCAACAGCAGTATTTGCACTGTAAACATTTTTTATTTATGCACAGTATATGCAACAGCAGTATTTGCACTGTAAACCTGTTTTATTTATATGAAGTGTGGGTGAACTTAAACTGTATGGCTATGCTGTGGTTCCTGTAGGCTTTGCGTGTGTGTGTGGGGGGGGGAGGGGGGGGGCACCTTCATGTCCATTTTGCTTGGGGCCCCCAAATTCCTTCAAACGGTCCTGCCGATCCTATGTTTTTAAATTGAGGTGTGTGTGCTGCCGTATTCTGCTTGTGTTATTTATACTGTAATTGCTTTGTATCGTTGTATTTGTGCGTATATGAGCTATTATATGTATATGTTCATTAGTAGTTTATGGTATCGTGTATGATACATATGAATGTGGGCTATGTATGAGGGCTGCTTGTGGAATTGTGTGTGGGTGGATATGTCACATTGTGTGTTTGGTAGTGTATGGGGGCTGTTTGGGGTTTTGCATGTGAGAGGCTGCATGTGGGATTGTGTGCATGTATGTAGATTGTTAGTGGTGTTGCATTTGTGGGGATTGTGTGTATGTTTGTGTGTGGGCTGTTCGTATTATTTGTATGAGGGGAGGCTTATTCTGCAGGTCTGTGTATATCTAGCAGTGTGAGTGGCTTCCCTGGGTTCCAGTGGGGACCAGGCTGGCCAGGTACAGGTCAAGGACAGGAGCTGCAACATCAGCTGTGGGCTGCTCTACTACAGTGTGGATTCCCATTCACAAGTGCTGGGAGGAATTGATCTGAGATCACTTCCTCTAAGTGCTGCAATGCATAAATTGAGGATTGTCCTTCACTACCTCTTTCTATTAGCAGATATCTGAAGTTTCACTGAGACTCCTGATAGGGCAGACCCTGTTTGGCTCTAGCAGCCTTGAGTGCCGTGGAAAGACACCTCAAGTGCCGTGCATGGCACTAGTGCCGTAGGTTGCCTACCCCTGATTTACACCATTGCATACCTCCCAAGTGTTTCTATTTAGGGGAGACAAACCCTATTTTGTGCCCAAATCACTATGTCCATCTTTTCTAGGCATTCTATATTGTTGGTGTTTGAGTGTATACCAGAGCTTCACTGCAATAATAATAAGTCAGTAATGTGTCTTTAAGCTACAATAAATGTGTTTATAAATCTGTGTATTTAAGATGCATTGTTCCTGTTTCATATGGCATGATAATTCCATAAATTGTGATTAGAACCTAACCTTAACTTGTCCAGGCCTGTCCATGACCATATACTAAACACACCGCTAAAATTGAAGTGTCAATATTTTGCATTTGAAATGTTGAGTGGTATGCCATGGTATTAATTGAAAATGATCTAGTCTTTAACTTGTGTTAATGTTTTGTTTTCACTAGATACTATGTTTTCTTTTAAATGTATATTAATGATTTAGCATTCAAATTATGAGGAGTAATAGAAACACTGTTTCATTTCTTCTCTTTATATGATTTCTCTATGATGCCTGCCTGGTGCAAAGAGTGTATAAAAATGATTGCTGGTTAAAGAGGTACAGATTTCTACTTGTAATTATATTTTGTTCTCTATTGAAATATATTTCTATTTTCCTGATAATTCGCACTGTGGTGAATAATCCTGTTAGTGTTTAGTTACTTCTCTCATTCACTTCTTTAGAAACTCCCTGGCCATCCCACCCCACCATCAAATAAAACAAGAGCAGTTATTTTTTTAATTGCAGTCACGTTTATTTGCAGCTTCTATACACACTTTCTATGTAATCAAACTTTTCTGACACATTTTTGAGGGGTTCACAAAAGAAATTGTCACCATTTTTACTAAAAAATAAATACAAGACTTAAAGTGTTGCACAGCTCTAAAATATACAAAGGCTTAGATTTAATGTAAACTCTGAAAACATTTTACAAAAGAAACCATCTTTGCAACAATTTAAAAAGTTCATATTTACAGATATTACAAAAATACAAATGGATGCAAGTCCACTAACCATAGTCGTTTCCTCCCACGAGTGCCATACTTACATTAAAAGAGTAACACTGTAATCTCTTTTCTGTATGTTATATCACATCAACCTTTCTAAGATAAGTTGTAAATTGTGATTCAACCCTTCAGTGGCTATTGGACTAGCAATGCATTGGGGTCTATGCACTAAGCTTCAAGTTATGGTGACTCTAGAATACTTGCAAATTTAAAGCCAAATTAGCAGAGTTGGCAGTAATATTCAACTAAGCTAGTTTAGCATACATTTCTCAAGATGTGTTTAAAGTCACTAGAACTTGCTGTTTAGTTAATAACTCTCAGTGTAACAGAATGCACTTGATTGCTTAACTAGTGGGTATTAAGACAACTTGCTTCCAGCATCTGGCATGAAATCGGTCACTAATGCAGCAATTTATACCGCAAACCTAATGATTTGGCAAGTACTTTTCTGTTCACTATTCCTTCTCATCATAAACCTGCTTAAACATAAAGTCAAATAGAAATGTTAGAAGGAAAGGAAAAAACAGTTATGTTGTTAAAAAAAAATTATTTAAAAATCTGTTTCATCAGTGCAAACAGAACGTTAATTTCAAAGGATGGTGAACAAGCTTGAAATAGGCAGTCACTGGGAATCACAAGCATGGGTCCAGAGCTCTTTTATACGTTGTCTACTTTGGGAATATCTCAAGACTTGACTGCCGTGACAGATTTGCTCCAGTTAAGATCCAAAACACTTAAATATGTTTTTCAAAGGAACACTCCACAGCCCAAATACAAAATAAATTAAAAATTACTGTTTAGTATATACACCCAAAATGAAAACAAGCATGCATTTAATTATAATTTTTTTCCCTTGGGGGTATATCTAAAAAAACAGCTTGAAAAAGGTGCAGATCTCTTGTATTCAGCATTTGCAAGCCCTCCTCTTTTTTCTAATCACAGACTTCCCAATGCAGCTCAATGAGACGTCTTTGCAAGTCAGGTGCTCTGAGCAATTGCTGCCTCATGAGTTTAGCTCCACTGAGCTAACCAAACCAAGAGGTAACAGCACCTGATGTCAAGGGGGTGTAATCAGATTAATTTATAAAAGTGTCAACTTCTATTGAAATCAGAATTGTTTTTTTTTTAAATCACACATAGAGCTTTCCAGCAAGCTAAAGTGCTTTAGGGGTCTGGAGTGTCCCTTTAATTGTTGAACTTTTCCTAGTTTTGTGTTAAAGGAACACTCCAAGCACCATAACTATTACAGCTTGCTGTTGTGTTTATGGTGCCAGGAGTGACACAGAGACATCCTACGGTAATTTGTCAAACTGTTTTAGTATACTTGGGTCCCCATGACGCCCATGCTGCATCCCCTCTTCTCCTGCAGGAGAAGCAGGATGTCTCATGACAGCTAAGCATGGCCAATGCAGGCCTGTGCTCATTGGCTGAGAGTGCTTAGCTCATACTTAATGCAGTACTGCATGGTCCTGTTTAGCTCAGTAGAGGAGAATCCTAAAAGCAGTTAAACAAATTAAACTGGGTTAGCAACAGGACACTGCTGATACCATAACCACTACAATTGGTTGTTTTACTTGGAGTGTTGTTTAAAGCATTGTTAAAAGAGATTTGCTGAGAATAAAGACATTAAAATAATGTCCATATTTTTGTTTATATTTTCAAACAGAATTCCTACAAAGAATTTCTTAAAAACGATGCTGCTATCATTACCTATATGGCTAGAGGATTTGCGGTTTGTACTTGAAGTCTAAGCAAAAGGAACTGAAATATGTTTCTCTTTAACTGGGTATGTTCTAACCTGCAATGTTATTGTTTGCCTTGTTTATGAAGTTTATTCACTAAACTGGAAATTGTGAACATTTTTATGGGATTAAACATTTTAGACAGAATTTGCAAAAATCTTCATGTCAGCTTTTTTTCTAGAAATCTTTCAATTCACCAGTTAATTGTCTACAATTCCTAGTTTAGTGAATAAACTCTGTATATTTTCAAATATACATTTGTCGATTTTCATGAATGCATGTACCCCATGAAGGAATATTTTCATAAGCACACTCAAGACACAATGTTATTAAGCACCTTGCACCTCTCCGTGTCTTGGTCTCTGCTAGGAAAAAAAATGTACATCTTATGGTATATTATGGAAGCGTACTTAAAGCTGCCCAGTGCATTACGGCATAAGTTTTCAATACATATGTACTTGGCATATTTGAAAAGCAATAAATAAATACCATATGTCAATATAATTATGTTAAGTCGAACATTTTTTCTGTATGATTATTGACCCCACCTCTCAAAAAAGTACCACTATAGGATGATGTCTTCTCTGGTTTCATTATGTTACTAGCTTTATTTCTGCTACTTAGGTAAATAAATTGAATTTAGCACTACCACAGTTAGTTATATTCACAGTAAAGGGCTGTTAAGATAGAGCTTGAAAACTCTCTCATATTTTGAACTTGATTCTTGAAACAGAACAGTCAAAAACAAACATTTATATGGCACTTGCATGGAACAGAAAGTTTAATTGTGCTACTTAAGGCTGTGCTTAAACATAAAATTCATTATAAAAGTGTTGACAGCAAATTGCATTAACAATTAATAGTCAAAATACTATTAGAACTCTTGAAAATGACCAGTGTTTTAGTTAGATTTCGAAATCATGGAGATTAGCATCAGAATTTATAAGGTTATCACTTGTCCTTGATTTATGTGTGATGTGAGATGCCCTGCATAATATTCAGAAGGGTAAAAGCACAAAGTGATACCGCAAGTAATGATTACCTTGATTTGCCACATTATCCTTTAGCACCAGTTTTGTACCTGTCAAAATAATGGTGTCAGTGATTTTTATAATGTACAAAATATGTATTATAAGGCCTGTTAAACAGAATAGTTTAGGTATCATAACATTTGAGGAAGGCTAGCACCTTTCAGTATGAGACACATACCCAACCAGTTGGTCCACACACACACACATACATATATATGTATATCAAAAGCAGTCCTGTGCAACACTCGTGCAAATGGACTACTGAGTGTGCATAAAGATGATGCACACATAGGATCTAACCAAGTGCTTACTAATGACAAGTTGCACCATATTTCAGATGACAATTGTGGCCATTTGAGGAACTGAAAGATGTAAAAACTAAAAACAAAACGTTTGTGTTGTTTTAAATTCTATAAATCAAACCTGGGGGTAACAACTGTTAAGTAGTTAAGTGTGTGTAGTAACATTATCAAAGGTAGTGAGGCAGAGAAGTAATTAACATCACGCAAAATATTGCATATTTAATACTTATATGAGCTGATTTTCTAAAGCAGAAAATAACATTTCAGTTAAATTGCAGGCTGGGTAACTACTGTTTCATCTGGTTATCACTTTAAAAATATTAGTATGGATTAAAGGGACTCTCCAGGCACTAGATCATTAGTGGTGTTTTGTTGTTTTTGCACGCTCAATCTTGTATACATTTTGCAAACACTACAATAAATGTTTGAAAGCACACTACAATTTAACCCTGCCTCGTTTATGCTCAGTCTCAACTTTCCCATTCTAAAATAATTCCTTCTTGCTTGTTACTATAAACAATCTGTTGCCTTGAAAGAACTCTAGTGGCAGTCACCCAGAAAGCCACTATGGGAGCTACCTGTCTCAGTGCAGTACTGTGTGAGTAAAATCACAGAGAACTAGGGCAGACACCTAAACAGCCATCCCAGCACTATAATATATACAGGTTTGTATTACTAACACTATAGTGTTCCTTTAAATGAGTAGCATTGTTTTCCACATAAAAAGCATGCAGTAACTTGTTCTCTCATATGAACAGTTTTTGAGGGATGGAGCATTTATAAAGATGTATATTATTTATATTCTACCTGTTTCAAAAGGGCATTCTTTGTTTCATCCCAGCATAACCAACAGTAATGCTTGCAAATTACAGCCTAAACTAATCTTCAGTGCACAGTAATAGGACTGAAGCAGTCTTGAGCTTACAGACACACGTATTTGCATATTTCAACTACTGCTCCTATCAACACTGAAAGCATCTGTCTAAAATAATATATTTCGTTTTAAGATTTGCTATCCTTTTATAATTATTCATTATACTGTACACATGAGTATCAAAGCATTTTGTTACTCTCATCTTTAATCTCGCAAAAATATAATATGTAATTAGCACGTTAAAGAAATGATATCATTAAATATCTATTATACGGCCTCAATCCTGTTTTGCATTAAACAGTGCCTGACACTGAACGCTAACCTAAATGTCTTACGGACTTGGATTAAAAACCCATAACTATTGCAAGGGCAATACATTTTATTTAGCATTTATATATCTGGGTGAGGAAAGTAATTGTAACTAAGGACCCTGAATTATAAAAACCAGAAACACAAAATATTTTAAGCTAATCTGAAATCTGATATAGATAAAAGATTTCATAGGCTGAGTTCAGGTCCCAAAATGCAGTCCTGAACAACAAACAGGTACAATATCAGTATCTCTATCGATCACTCAATTAGTCAAGCTGTAATATTAGTTAGTTAGACAAAGTACTCTAAATGGTCAACAAAACAGATATTTAAGTAGTATTAATACAATTTAAAGAAGATGTAATAACTTTCTTTTCATTGTCTAAGAAACCCATTAAGAAAGTTAATATATTCTGATAATTAATTCTGACTGGACATAATGACAGCTGTCCAAATTTTCTATTTATGCTCAGGAAAGATAGAAAGATTTTATTGGTTGTGTGCTGAGAAAATTACCAACATTTTGCAGGTACATGGGAAAATATTGAACAATTAAGCACTGCACATATTCATGTAAATTAATTGGAAATTCATGATCTTTTGGTTAGGTGATGTCTATTATATGATGCCATAAAATAAGTTTTACTTTTAGCAATAAAATAAAACTATTCATATGTTTATACTTCTAATTTCTTAAATATATATTTATATGTTCTTGACATGATCTTTTTTGTACATTTCCCCCCCAAAAAATTATAAAATATGTTTAGGTGATCAAGCTCTGTAAAATCAATGAATGGCAATGGATTTAAGTACATTAAACAAATATTATCTTGGCCATTTTATACCAGTTAAGGTAATGGTTGTCAAATTAATCTTAAAAGAGAATCACACAATGATATTTATCAAGCTGTAGATGAGTCAAAAATCTCAAGTATTTCAGTTGACTCATGTTGAGAAGAATAATAGCTATTAGATTGTGACCTTGTTAACACTCTTTTTTTTTTTTTTTACTTTTAAATTGATCAGCAAAATATCTAACAGTTGAACAGATGATTAGATACTTGTATTGATACATGTAAATGTGGTTAGACCCAGTCATACGTGTGTTCTATCATTATAGAAAAGGCAGCTACATCAATTAATATTCTTCTTTTAAATGTAGTAATTTCAATAACAACAAATACAAGACTTTTAATAACATAATTATGGACTGTTAATAGCTTATAGTGAAGGTCTGATAATGTCTTTATATGTAGTTGAGTCTAGAGGAATGCATGGCTGTGGCTGGGACTACTATGAATGGCTGATTTGAAAATAATTATTTACTATGCGTGCATTTCTTTTTATAATGTTAAATCATATTTAATTGAACATCTCCATTTTTACTCCTAACTTTGGGGGCAATGACTGGATAAGAACACCAAGGTCAGAAAAGTGTGGTTTTAGACTGTCAATTCTACTCAAAGTTGGATGGGCTAATGAGGAGGTTAATTTCCAGGTTAACTAAGAGGAAGGCCAAGGGATAAGCTGTAAATGGTGTTTGAAAACAGTTTGGACAGGACATTCAGAAGGTTTGCACCACGACAACTACATTGAACATGGTGGTTATGGTGAATATAGTGTGCCTAACATTCTATTTAGGAGCAAGCAAATGAGATTGGTCTTCCTAGCACTGCACTTGTTTTAAAAATAACTGTTACCTTACTTATATTGAAGATAATAATTGTGATTAAATATTGCACTAATTGGTAAAATACATAAAAGTGCATTGATTAGCAGACTGCCAGTTTTAGCAGGAAGAAACCAAAACACTTCACTGACATGAAAAATGCCCTTTAGTTTGCTCGTTTGAAAACTACAATATATATGTCTAAATACACCACCCTGTGCAAACAAATCATTATCCTATCATATGTAACCCTCAACACTCAATCTACACATACAGTCACACACAAGCAGTCTGTACATATTATAGAGCAGGGGTGACCAACAGCTGTTGTGGGGCTACAGAATAAAGTATGTGTTCCATACTTCCACAATTCATGTAGGTTAGACAATTAGACCAAATGCAAAAAGGCTGGCAAAATATCAAGGCATTTAACATCCTACAATAACTGGAGAGATACTTATTGGGCACCCCTGGCATGATGGCATAAAATCCAACCTCTCATCTCTATATACATAAAACTTGCAACAACTGAAAAACACTTGCAATTTTGCCTTCGTTTAACCACTCTCACTACATTTCAATAACTTTATTATTCCTTTAAAATAATCAGAATCTAGTATCCTAGTTATAAATTAAGGAACAGAAAACCGCATCCATCTAATCTCAGTAAATGACAATTGAATCTTGTTTTATACATATATATTCACGCTATTGCCTTTTCAGTGTTTTGGGCATTTATAATTATCAATGCAGTATAGAGAAAATTAATGTATGGATAGATAATCATATTGATACTCATTTACTCAGTAGAAAGTGAATTTGGGGGCTGCAGAGATGAAGACATTTTTCATCTGAGCTGTATACCCAGCTTGGATATTTTTGTGAATTTGAATTTCAGTTTCCAAAATCCACCATTTTGTTAATTAACCCATTAGCATAACACATATAATATTGATGTGGTTTCCCTTTATTTCTCCTAGAAAAACTTAAATGCTTTAAATTTTAACCTGGAATGATGAGTTAGCGGCTGACCAGACGATGCAAAATGCTTGCATGAAAATACATGCTTTGGAAAATAGCTTTCGTTGCTGCCATATATAGTGATATTAATCATATACTGTATGTCCTTCATTAACCCTTTTGAATGCTGGAGAAGCAAGAAATATAAATAACGGTACTTTCAGTCACAGGATCATGTAACAATAATTTTATATTGGGATGTAGTGTACCCACATTAGTACACTTGGCATTCACTCATTTAACAATTTATTAGACTGTGCATACAGTGTTACTGTGGTTAGATACTGAATGTCCATTGTGTTGATACCCATACCTCTGCTCTTGGTTTAACAGCTGGGCTAAGGAGAAATAATTCAATGTCAGAAAGGGAAGTTACTATTTCCTGACCTTTTTTAAAGGGTGTCCTTACCTACTTCAAGGCCAGAAACAACCTAATTTCTGCTTGGTACTGAACCTTTTACCGAGGCCATTGGAGGTGATTTTTAGGTGTAGAAAATAAAAAAAGATTCCAGGTTTGATAATATCTCAAACAAGGTAACTGATCAGTGCCCTAGAGCACTGTCACATACTTATGAACATCTGCCATCACTTTGTGTACCAAAAATAACCTTTCCAGTTCAGTCAAAGCCAAACCATGCCATACACATCCCTTTCAACTTGCTGAACTCTTTGTACCTCCATAAACATATGTAATGTAAACATTACTCCCATTTGATTTCAATAATAAAAAACAATTTGTCGATTGACATTTTTGTCTTATTCGTTAACAAAAGTGCAAGTCAATCCTTGACTTTTTGTTTGTGCAAAACTTCAAGTAATTTAATGTCATTTAGCTTACAAATCTCTGCGATGTCTGTCAATGCACTTTCTGTATCCTTCTATTCAAGTTTACAGTTAAGAAGTTAATGAAATGAAATGTGTGACTAACATTTCTAGAAGCTGGACTAGCATCATCAGTTTTGTTACCTCCAGCAGTCAAATAGTTAAATAATATTTCAACCAAAGCGGCAGAGGTGCAATTCTATTTCTGATAGTTAGGATCTGTACATTCCAAATGCATATATGAGCTTGATTTTTTTCATTTTTGCTTTTTTTTTTTTTTTAATAATACTTACAAGTTTGGTTCAGTTTTGTTTTGTTGGCCACTAAATTTATGTATTGTATCCCACTTACTTCTTTACAATTGTTTTCCAACAGTAAAAATCCCACGTAACACACAGGTCACTTGACAACGAACCTTCACTTAAAATTAATGGAAAAAAAGAATCAAAGTTGTTCAGTTGGACTTTTTATACAAATAGACTGATTTATAACATAATTTTTAATGTTTTGCTTATTTTCAGTTTTTTTGTTTGTTTTTTATTGAGAGTCACGTAACAATGTAACAAGCAATAATGGATTAGTGTATTTAAATAATATAAGGTACACTAAATCTCTAAAACTAGCATAAAAACAATCTCCCCAATTGCATTTCCTGTGAACTTCAATAACTAGTGTTATGTATGTGTATGTGTATACTTGATTTGAGTTTCTCTTAGGGACACTCAGCCAGTTAAACACTGAGTAATCTGCATGCCTATCTTACTATGAAGAATGAGGCAGCTGGCTAGGGAGTCAATGTGCAGGGGCCAACCTGGTAATGTTCACAGTGAAAATGCCATGAGACAACCCAGATAATGACTGTCTAGATTTTCCTTTATTGAATATAATGGATCAATAAAAGCAGTTTTATGTAATAATGTGTCTATTTGTTAATGAATAGAAAGGTCTCACACAGTCTGGTTGGGTATGATTTGATGAATACTAAATATTTGTTGGTTCTGCTATCAATATCAAGCAAGTGCTATACTTGACCTTTTTATATTAACATTGAGCTATTGTGTAATTTGTCTTGTTCTTCAAGGAAAATATTTTCATTTTCATTTCTATTGCCACTAGCATGCAAGATACATATTTTCATTATGAATTTTTGAAAACATGTTTTATTTTTTCATGGTATTTAATATTTGTGCTCTTCCAAATTCTGTTATATTTTCATTTTCATGGCACTTCAACCAGTCTACTTTCCAATTGACAAACCTTTTAAAAGTTCCTTTTTTACAGAAATATTCCATGAAATCTTCTGTGAGTACTCCACTGGGAACTGTGGGGACTGGCTACATGCAAGTTCTGTACAATTGTTATAGTCTATCAGTAGCAGAACATCAAACTATAACCAAGGAAGATTTCCTTCTAATCACACATTGATATATATGTATATATATATATATATATATATATATATATCTATATCTCACACACACACACACACACACGCATGCACATCTTATGTATTGTGGCCTTGGAGCTTCCAATATATTACTGATTAAACATGTCTCACAATGTTAATTAAATATTTTAGACCTGGCTCACAATGACATCCTTTCCAGTTGCCAGTATTCCTCTCTCTTGTGTTACTTTTATGTAAATACTTTGCCCAACTGCCCAAAGGAAACTCACATTGTGAAAAAAATGAAAATAAAATAAAAATTACAGTACTTCCAAGATTAATTATACATAATAAAACCTTAAAAAAGTATGTTTTGATTTCTAAAAATGTACAAAAACAAATTTGAGGCTCTTAATTATTATCTTTGTTAATAATGGACATGTATTACTGTGACTCAGAATAAGAAGATGGTATTCACAGAATACAATTACCTTTTCACCTCTGTTTTCCTCTTAACCAATCAGTGCTGCAACATATTGTTTAGCAGAAGGAGAGTTAAACTCTCAAGAAATTCTAATGCCTTATACTCAATGGATGCATATCCACATTTAGTCTAATATTCATATTTACAATTTTATCAAAAATATTATATTTACAGTTTTTTTAACTGTGAAAGTTCACGTTGTCTTTTTTCATGTACAAAAATACCTATTTTATGCTCTTTTTTTTTCTCCTTTTCCTAATCTGCTTGGTTCCCAGGGAAGCACTTCAGCAAAGTAATATTAAACTGTTTTTACAATACCAACTTTGTTTCTATAGCATTGTTATTCTTTTTATGTAACCCAATGGCACCTTAAGATTGATTTGACTAAATAATTGATATAAGGAATTAAGGTAAAAAAGTAGTTTAGTAAACACAGATGATGCAATTCTTCCTTAGGACTGCTAAAATGACAAATAATTGCACTAATATATTCTCAGTTCATTGTGTTCTACCAATGCTAGGTTAACATTTCAGCCCCCTAATTATTATTATTAGTATTTTTTTTAATTTTTATTCTTTTAAATCCTACTTCTTCAAACGCAAACTGTATATATGGCAAATTATGACTTTTTTGTGAAAAGTTCATTTGGAAGTAGGATCCAGGTAATAAAATTAATACAAATCATCTTCTTATGCTCTTTTTACCATATGCTAAATTATGTTTTTGTTTTGGGGGAAAATAGGTCTGTGAAGAAGAAATCCCTTCAGTTGCAGCGATCTCAATCCCCACCACCTTTGTTGGTGGGCTGGCACAAGACTAGTATCAAACAGAGTTTGGAAAAAGTATGAGACAAATGTTTTTGGCAGCCAGTCTGTTTCTGCTGTAATGTAAATAGAGGTCCTACGTGGAGCTCTGTGAGGATCTGTCATCATGAGGGCTACCATCTGAGTTTTCTGTCTCACCTTCTGAGATGGCCTGCATTGGCGCATTGTATAGTCGGCACCTGACACTGTAACGACTGCTGCTTGCTGCAGGAGGCACTCGGGACCTGCCCACTCTGGAGGCAGCAGACATAGTGCCAGACTTTGAGGAAAAGCTCTCAGACATGACCCGAGTAGAGCAAGGGGAAAGAGGGGAGAATGCATCACCACCAGTCGCTAATTGGGAAGCCTCTTCAGAGCTAGGAGAAGACTCTAGCGAAAAATCACCAAGTGATTTGGGAGTTACTGGACTCTTCAATATTTCAGTAGCAGACATGCGGTAGCTGGTATCTGATCTGCTACCTTTTTTTAAAAGAAGTAATTTAAATTCCTCATTTGAAGTATTTGATTTTTTGGCATTCCTGTAGATCAGACCTGGAGATCTTTGAGAACCTGGTGGAGTGGAACTTACTGAGGTGGAACCAGCTGGGGTGGAAACAGCTGGGGTGGAACCAGCTGGAGCGGAACTTGCTGGGTTGGAACCTGCTGGGGTGGAACCTGCTGGGGTGGAACCTGCTGGGGTGGCTGTGTTGCTTGCTGTTAAAGCTCTTGATTTATTTTTTACAGTGCTTTCTCCAGAATCTTTTCTTCCAAGTACTTTTCTTTTGGATCTGTAATGACATGATCACATAACATAAAGTTTAAAAAAAAAAGAAATGCATTTCATATAGAAGAAAATAAATTTTGTGATGCAAATAATAAATGTCCTATGTAAAACATATTCTGTATGTACACTGTTGACATTTACTTCTGAAACATAGCTAGGCTAGGGCAGAATTATCCACTCTTGTCTACTTATTTGTAAGGAGCATCATTACCACTACAACTCATTGGTTTAGTTTTGATTTTCCTATGAGTCTGTGGGTACCATTTTATTATTAGCCCAGCACTGGTGGCCTATTATTGTCAACCAAGTTTGGATGCTTTTGGATAGATAATACATAATGGAATCGTCTACATTATTCTGCAGAGGGGCTGAGCTTCAGATTTTGAAGAGCCAATTTTGTTTTACCACTATCAATGGTTTGTCAAAAAGGAAGGATTACATCCAAAGTCTCATAGCACCCATATCCACCACACGAATCTTTGGGATGACAGATCTGTAGATTTTTCTGGGCTAAATAGTTGTGCTTTACAATGGTCTATGGACATTTTTTTTCTGCAGTAGTGTTTTGTTACTTTTTATTACAGGGAAACTTAGAACAAGGAGCTCCTTCCATTATAATCCAGCATGGATTCCAATCTGTTTAATTACATGCAATTTCCCTTTAAAGGATAACGGTCATCATTTTTTTTTTACTTCTTTATGACATTCAATGAAACGTAATTATTGTTTTTTGATTAACTGTTACTTTACTTGCCTGCTCCTGCAAGTTAGCATGAACATCAGTTGGTCAGATAACAGTAGAGTATCATCTAATATGGCTGCTCAGCCAGATTAAAAAGTAACATTTTCTCAAACAAATCAATATTCATAATTTTTTTTTTTTAAATCATTAAGTTTCATTAAATGTAATAACCTTTTAAAAAGCGAGAAGTGAAAATTTGATGACAATTGTCCTTTAAGTGACAATATGAAATTATGAAATAATACTTTTGGTTACCTGTGAATCACAGCAAATAGATCCTCAGTAGTGCGGGGTTTGTTCGGTGATACAAAAACATCATCTATGTCAGCCTGGGAATCCTCACTAATTGGAGAAGTGATAGAGTCCTCACTCTGAGAAGATTCTGCAGAATAACAGAAAAAAAATCCACAGTTTACACTCAAACAAACAATATCTATATATATATATCCATATGCATAAGATAAGACACAGTTAGGTATGGGGCCCTGGAGGTGACATGGTAATGTTTTATATTTTAATTGTGGGCATGCTGTATTATCTCACATGCACTGTTTAGTAGATCGTAAGATTGTTAATATGTTTTTACAGTTTAACTAATTTGTGGGCACAATATAGTTAACGCGTGGGCACGATCATAATATAGTGAGATAAACTATAGTAGTAACATAATATAGTTAGAAGAAGGGCCAGCACCTATTAGCACCCACCTCCCTGCTGCCATGACTGGTTCTGGCAATGTGTATCCCCTATGTGTTTGGCAATCTTCACAACCTCTCCTCTCCTGTAACACAGAGCTACCTGCAACTGTCCCTCTCAGCTACTGCTCTACTCATTCTAATTCAATGCATTTTAAATGGCAGAACCGTGAGCATGTGTTAACTATCTCAGGGATACCATCTACTGAACCATGCGTGCAAGATATTACAGCGTGCCAATGATTTAAAAAACAAACAAACTTTTCTATGTCTCCTCTAGGCTCTGTGTTAGGCAACATACATTTTTGTTTTATTAAACTGTTATGGTTACTGAACATTCACAGATGCTGTGGCCAAACCAAACTATACAATTATCTTAAATTTGAATATGTCTTATTCATTTACATTCATAATGCTGGCATAGAAATTTCTACAAATTATGTATTAATGTGGTAGAAAATGAAAACATGATATTCAGGTGTGTTTAGTATAAACACCTGATTATTATTTGATCATTTTAATTAATGTTTTATATCTAAAAGAAAAATATATATCTATGCTATCATTAGTTTTCCCCATGCTGTTATAAAAAAATAAATGTAGAACATATTAAAGGAACACTTTAGGGTCAGGAACACAAACATGTATGACTTTATAGTGTTAATATCACCATCTAACACCCCCTCCCCCCAGCCTCCCCTTGCCTCCCTAAATATAGTAAAATCTTACCTGTATTCAAGCCTGCAACAGTTGCCTCTGCCCCTGACCTCCCTGCTTTGCTGACATGATCAGAAGTGATTACATGAGCCAATCACAATGCTTTCCCATAGGATTGTCTGAGACTGTCAAGGAGGCAGATCAGGGGCAGAGCCAGCACACATCAAACACAACCCTGGCTAATCAGCATCTCCTCGCAGAGATACATTGAATCAATGCATCTCTATTAGGAAAAGTTCAGTGTCTCCATGCAGAGGGTGGAGACACTGAATGGCAGCAATGCACAGTGTGCAGCACTGCCCCTAGAAGCACCTCTAGTAGCCATCTGAGGAGTGGCCGGCGGAGTTATCCTTAGACTGTAATGTAAACACTGCATTTTCTCTGAAAAGACTGTGTTTACTGCAAAAAGTCTGAAGGGAATGATTCTACTCACCAGAACAAATGCCATAAGCTGTAGTTGTTCTGGTGACTATAGTGTCCCTTTAACCTATCTAAAATATTTTTATAAAATGTAATTTTATTGCTTGTTAAGTAGAGGATACTAACTAGCTATCAGGGTAATAACATCACACAATGGATACATCCATCAAAAGCTGATGTTGATGATGTCTGGTCAGAATTCCATAAAGCCGATTTAAATTTACAATACATCTTCTGGGTGCATTTCTTCATACCAAATTAAACAAAATGACAAATAGTTTTTTAATAAGAGTAAAACTGTTTACCTTTCCAGGAGACATCATGCATGACTTCTGATCCATCATTTGTCCTGTTTTCCTCTGAGGCACTTTTGGTTGGAATACCTGATAGAGTTTTAAATTCCTGCTCTGGACATCCGTCGCTGAGTGGACTTACAGTAGAGATCTCTGATTGAAAGCTGAGAGTATTTCCAGGCACTTTGTCATTGTTGCTTAGGCCAGGCTGATTGCTGAGCTCAGTATACACCTTACTGCTTCTGTCTGGCACGTCAAACCCAGCTGTGCTTTGTCCAGGTTTAGATATGTTTACTGTCTCACATTGTAGTTGATGCTCCTGTTCTATCTTGACTTGACTATCTTCTTGTGGGTGAGAGCTTTGCTCAACGACTATCTCACTATTACTCATTGAATACTCCTGATAAGATTTTATAATTGTTTCAGGTTGTGCCGTAAAAATAGTTTCTTCTATTATGTCATCGGCTCGAAGTATTTGGTGTTTGTCTGGCTCAACTAGTTCAGTTACTCTACTTATGGGTGCAATTCTCTCCTCCTTGTATATTCCATGTCCTGTGAATAGACCAGTCTGTCCAAAAAACATACTCTCTGGGCTTGTATCAACAGGTGATGCATCAATAAAAGGTAGCATGGCTTCTTCAGTAGAATACTGACGCAGTATAGGTTTGTTTGTTGCCATTACATTTGATTTGTCAGGAGTATAGGTTTCCACAATAATCATTGGATCCTGTATGCATAAAAGCTTGCTGCTATTTTCTTTATGAACACACTCTCTGTTGTGTTTGTTGACGGTTCTGAGATGGACAGATTTCAAAACAGAAGGTGTTATCGCAAGTGCTTGTGAAGAATTTGAACCTAGCTGCTCTTCTGCCATATTCTGATTAGTATGGTTAAATACATGCACCTGTGGCCTGTAAGGTAAAGGTTTATGTATCACATGAAGGGCACTTAAGTCAAGATGGGTAGGAGGTATAGTTGGCAATTCTAAATCTTTGTTTAATAATATATTACCACATTTTGAAGATGGATGCTGTAAAGAGGATTTCCTTTCTGGAACTTTTGGCTTTCTTTTGCCACCCCCAGGGGACAATGGCCCAGAAAAGAATGGGGTTGGGAAGGATGATGTTGGTGTTTCAGACTGGCTAGAGTAGCCGCTAGATGGTGATGCTAAACCAGCTAGCTTTTCTGGAGAAGCTAACTTAAATTCATTCTCTACTGAAGGAAGAGAAGGTGTTGTTGCTCTGGATTCAGATTGTGATGTTTGTGATTCAGAACTCTCCGGTGACTTAATGCATTCTATAACCGTAGTACCAGTAGCAGTGCTAGAATTTGATAAAGACCTGTAAGGATCATTTGATTTCAAGTC